CACACAGCAGTAATCAGTCTGAGGGAAGTTTAAAAATTCCAGCCCAGACCCCGATCAAGCAAGAACCGACAATAACACGGTCTGGAAGAACAGTCAAAGTTCCTCAAAGATACCAGCATTAATTGAATGTTTAATAATTCCTTTTGAGTGTTATTTCTTGAACATTTAAGTGTATTGCAAGTTATGGCTTGATTTGGGAAAAAGGGGGATGTAGTGATATTTCATATATTATGTTATATTAATTCAGTGCCTAAGTTCATGACCTTTCATGCCGTTATTATCTTGCTCTGGCCTGCCCGCAGTGTATAACAGGTATAACGTTTTTCTGATTGGTGAAGTAAACGCAGTACTCTGAAACAACGAGTTTTATTCTGATAATATGCTCCACTCCGGTATAGAAATCAAGGGTAGAGATATTATTACAGGCACCAATAAAGAAATATCACTTTATTGAATCCTTGTCAGACGAGTTCTCATTCCAGTATGACGAAGTCACGTAACAAAAACAATAGCAATCAATAAAACACAAAAGCAAAAGCTCGAGGCCGAATATCCCTATGTCATTTCAGTCGCGCCAACAGTATTGGTGTTTTCACTTCATAATAAAGAAAACTGATAAAATAAATATTTCATTTGACACTTTGCTACTTATCATTCGCATTGGTCTAATTGCGACTCCTGCCATTTGCACCACAAAACACGAAAGTGTGCTGGGATATAAATGCCCTCAGGAAATAAATTGGGATATATTAAACGAAGATTGGTATACAGAACGGCGCCCCAGAAGTATGTGCACCAAGATGGCGCACAACCTAATCTGGTACACATACTATGTTCAGGATGTAGGACAGCTGGAGCTTTGGAGTATGTTAAAATTAGGCAAAACTATTGGATTGTGAAAGAAACTTCATTAGTGAAGAAAATTATCTATAATCTATCTACTTCTATAATTGTGTACTGTGCAGAAGAAGACGGTTAAATTTGCTTGTTAAATAGAGTAATCCCATATCAACCACAATTTTCATGCGTGGCTCAAGACTGTTTTGAACTCTTCTCCTATCTAAGCGCGCATTTCACGTGGATAATGCTCAAAACCTGAAAATGATCTTCTTCTATTGACCTTACAAGGATTTATTTCACATAGTGGCCGAATCGTTCAAGGTGAAAATGACCCAAATTTTCGTTCATCATTTTGCTTCAGAAGAACATCAAATATATATTTGATACATCTTGCGCTTTAAATTTTGGAGTTTCTAGTGATCCAAACTATTCTAAAATTTGTCATTTTAATTGAAACCGAAGCTCTTGTTTAACCAGGCTAGTTTTAAACAAAAAAATGTAGGCTATTTGAGAAAACGTTGGAAACAAGTCGTGATTTAATTTCCATTCTGAATCACAACCTTCCACGAAACACCCGGGGTTTGAGTGATCAAGGCTGCGCTTGACAAGAAGCGCTTTGTTCGATCTGTTATTTTCGGAGTCAATATTCTGTTTGTCAACGATCTGTAACAAAGCTTATTCTTTTGCATATATGAGATGAGTAATCGAGTGATCTCGGGAAAAAAATTCCATGATTCATTTTTTTTTCATTTTGCGGGGAGTTAAATATTCACTTGATTTTCAATTTAGTGTATATTAACATAAATTTTCAATTTCCATAAGTCCAGGGTGAAACCGTCAATATATCACACTATTACTTATCGTTCCCGCTTGTTTGCACTCTGATTCGATTTATCGAATGAATGGCTATTGCACCATAATTGCTCTTTGGAAGTGGCATCAGCCGACTTACTTACATGGGTTTAGTACTCTATGTTCAAACCGATACTAAATTTTTTTGTAAGATTAATATTTATTGTTTTTAAGATTTTTTGCATAAACACATTTGGCTAGATCTAGTTTTGCAGAACTCCTATAATTTTCTATTTTAATTATTTTTTGTTTAGAGAATCTCAACAAATCTTCCATCTTTGAGTGTTGATTACGAGCTTCTATAATATGTGAGTATGGAAAACGTCAACCTCAATAAAATTTCCGGCGACTTTCTTATCGGATTGCTCGTTGTTCCGATAACGGTACATCTATATCATCTTTCAGATCACTTCCGATCCATTTGGATACAACTTCTCTCTTATACCTATATTTATTTCCACCGATATATTCAAAGTAAACAGGAACCTGCCTGGAAGTTTTTTTGATGTTTTAGTCAACAACATATAAGAATCTTCCGCCCTCGACCGATTTATATTCTTCCGTTCTAAAACATTTTTTCAACCGTTAGATTAATTCTCAGAACGTTAAACCATCTTCCTGCCTATCTTTCCCAATTTATTTTATTTGAAGAATCATATTACAAAACGCTTTCTACATTACATATAACCTACTGTTCCCATACGTTGCTTTAAAAACTGCAAACGGTATATAAAATATATGGCGCGGCGGTGTGGCTCAACGGGCTATGCGTTAGGAATACGCTCGCCACCGCACCTCTAATTACTCTGCGTGGGTTCGCAGGTTCGAATCTCATGCAGGGATGATTATTTGCGAGAGGATTGCTGGACTCCTCGCCGTCGTTGGGTGGTTCACGTGACCGCTGGTCGGTTACGGCTTCCTCCACTATCAAGTCCATGCTTTCAAAAACAAAACAATATAACTAATCCCATACCCGACTTGGAATGGTAACCGGACGAGAGGCCGTGGTTCGCCATATGGATAAGCCGTCTTATCGGCTTTCCTCTCCCCGGGATAAATATGTAAATCCTATCCTATATCAAAGCGTGAAATTATATTACAACTTTTATCTTCAGCAAGTCGCGAGGAATTTATTCAAGTTTAATGTTGCTTGTCAGTGCAACCTGTGAAAACCATGTTGAATATAATGATATAGCCCAGTGGTTCCCAAACTTTTCAGAGTTGGGAGTCCCAACCACTATTTATTACCACAGCTTATGGCGACCCATTTAACTCTAATCATTTATCCATTATATTAAGGGCTAAGTAATATAAAAGTAAAGTTACAACTGCTTCTAAGTAAAGTCAAAACTACAACTGCCAGTTGCAGGGCACCTACACAACAAAATATCTTTGTAGGTTCTATTTTCTTTTGTTTTTTTATGACATATCACAGAAAACACCAATGGCTAATAATCGCAAAACTACCGTGTTTCCTCGAAAATAAGACCTGGCCTGTAAATGAGACCTAATTTGAATTTCAGGAATGATTTTAAGAGGTGTGATTTTAAGATCACACCACTATTCAAGCGTGTGTGATGTCACAATCACAATTATGATATTTGTCACTTGATTTTTGTATAGGAAATACAAATAAAAACAATGGATGTCGGTTTTTATATAATGTTTATTAAAAAATCTCGTGATTTTCTACAATGTCTGTCTAAATTTCGGGGAAACACGGTAAGAAGTGGTGTACAGTGTACAAAACTGCTATGCGTAAAAAAGCCACATGGTCATTCTTTGTGTAGCAAATTTTTGTTCCTTTGAGAAGATCGTGAAAAAGAAACTTTCACAGATTAGAATTTAAATTCAATTTAATTTTTTTGTTTTTTTAAAGATTCACGTATTCGAGTCGCCACCGATTCTAATAACCAGTATAATTAATCAAAGCTTTCTACATCTTTTCACGACCCACTAAGATTCATTTTGCGACCCACCTGTGGGTCGCGACCCATAGTTTGGGAACTGCTGAATTATAGCATATGACGTTTCTAGATATAAACAGAGGATTTTCCTTTCCATATGCTCATGATAGTCATGGTATACGACGTCTTTAAGCATAAACAGAAGATCCTAATTTGCGAATTTATATGAACAAAAATGAAGTATTTCCATGTGCCTGGCGGTGTTTTCTAAGACAGTTAGATTTTTGTTGTGAGTTGCTACATCTATCTAATGGCGCATTGATGCATTGTCCATTGATTCATTTTTATAAATATGCTAACAGTAAAGCTGCATGCAAACGGATTTACGACGTTTGCAACACTCCCGCTTGTTCTAACTATTACATATCTTATATAAAGTCATATGCAATATGCGTCGTTGATACACAAATGATTTCAAGATGTTCGAAATCAGTTAATTGGGTCACATATTCTGTGGGTAAAATTTTTCAAAGGTAAATTTTGTGATATAAGATTAAATATCGGTAGGTGCGTTATCCGCAGGCTTGGCCGTGGGCATAGGATTCCCACCGTATGGGATGGGACAGCACGCATTTGTATTTTCCATGGGACACAAAATAACGTATGATTTTCGGGGATGATGGTAACATTTCGTTATGGATTTCGTGTCCATATATTTGAGCATACCTCTCTTGTTAGTTATAACGTTCAAAATATATTCAGCATTAACAATATACCTTGTGAAGGGGCTGATGGGCACATGTATTTTAAGTAAACAAAGTCAGTAAATTTTGTTGTTTTGTATGTTTTTTCGTACATGTAGTCCTATTTACCTAAATTTTACAATTTTTATTGAATTGTATTTCAATGGGAATTCCATGGGATGGGTTGGGACAGGCATAATTTGCTATGGGAAATGGCGCGTGTCACGCCAATTTATCTTTATAGTCCGGGAACTGCTTTCCTACAGTTGTTACCCTGACTTGCTTCATTAAGATATATATTAGAGCTTTGAATTTTTATTGTCGTAGACGAGACAGGTGGTACTATAAGGCCCTGGAAATAAAATAATGTTTAATGAAATATCTGACATTTTTACTTTTTTTGTCTCGGAGAAAATACACATACTCCAAATCATTAGTAAAGTTTACCGATACTAAATTGCTGAGTTGTTTGACTCAATTGAGTGTGGGCTACAGTTGCATAACAGTTTTAGGAATAAATCGAATGTGGTTCAAGCTTTGCGCGAACGCAAAAGAGCACTATTCTCATCTTGTCTTACGATGTTTACGCCCGTTAAGTAAATAGTAAATTGGTTATACATTAACCCGCCCTGGCGTGGGTATGGAGAGTTCTCGCATTTTGAGGTATGTTTTGATTCTAACTGTACGCTGTTTGTAGAAGTGGTCGTTGTCTAAGTTGAATTAAACTATTGAATTGAAGAACGTATCGGGAAAATAATGGGGGCATGTGTAAAAATTTCGAAGTACATGCTTTTTCTTTTTAATATACTGTTTTGGGTAAGTAGAAATTTTGGTTTGCTTATTTTGATTTGTTTTTCAAACGATTTCGACCATTCAAGAAGTTCTGTAGTCTACTAGTGTTTATTGCACCTTTCGCCTCATTACAAACAAACATTTCAGGAAAATTTTGAGTAACATTCTCCGTATTGGCTTGTAATAATTTGAATGGAAAGAGAGGATATTCTCCGAAACGCATAGAACTGATGGTGCTCACAGCTGCTGTGTTAGATGATTGTTTATTGTATGCGTAACTCAATATGGCGTTTTAAAAAAACGCATTCGAGACGTTGAATGAAAATTTATACAACAACAGAGTGATATTGTTGCAAATTCGAAAGTTCAGTCTTTGGTAAAATTTGAAACTGGCAACTGGTTACTAGTATGGGAAAAGAACCAGATTGAGTTCAGAATTAGATTTATAGTTATCCCTTGTTTCATTTTTTAATAATGTAAAGTTCAGCAATTATGTTATTATTATTATCATTCCTATAAATACAAATCAATTTACTGATTTAGATTGCTGGAGGAGTCGCACTAGGGCTGGGAATTTACTTCCGAGTTAAAGATGATGCAAACACGGTGGTGGAAGTAGCTGGAGTCACATTTTATTATGCAGGTAACTGGTATTCAGCATTTCATAATGTTATTTCTCAAACCTAATGTTAGTTTTTTACCCCAAACTTGGCGTAACAGTAAAACAATAATTAGCCTTGGTGATACAGGAAAAGTTCTTAATAATTACTTTATTCAATGATCTATCTTCTTAATATACGATGATGGGTTTAGATCAGTAAAAATTATAATGTGTGTCTTCAAGGATTTAATGTTCAATTAATGGTATTTGTCTATATATCTTTTATATTTTTGTACACAATAGTTCGATACTCCTGTTATTACACGTTTTTTTTCATGTTCTTTCTTCGCTAACTGATTGCATATAGTTATTGTATATATGTTTTCTAAGCCAGGTATAATGGGTAATTATAATAATTAATGCTCAAATATATGGACCGAAAGGACAAATGATTGGGTCAAAGACCCTATTTTGGATGAAAATACTGAATTTTCAACGATAACTTGGTCATTTATTGTTCATGTTGAACCACATTCACTCAATGGAACATTTATTTGGCCATTATAAAGTCAAATATAGCTAGAGAAACATTTTCATTGGTACTTAACGTTTTGATATAAAAAATCAAATAGGGTAAAATAACAGCATTTCAGTCAAGAAAGAGGGTAAAATGGCTAACAGCCAGAGTTTCTAAATTCCGAGGGAACTATTTTATTTTCATCGATATTAACCGCTATTTGTTAACCAAGTGACGAAAAACTTTTCACAGCAACACATTTGTGACGTGAAATCCACTCAATGAGACACTCTTTTGGTATTTACATATTTTGGACTTGCTATAGAAATTAAAATAAATTAAATATACTGCATTTTTGTCATGAAATACCGACTTGGATTTTTTATTCGGTGTTATTGTCCTATGCTAATCGGTACCGGTAATTGGGAGATTGAACACTGAGTTCGCAAATCCGAAAAAGACAGACGTGGCGGAATAAAAACAATATAACCATGAACTAAAATTAAAATTTTGGATTAAATAACGAATCCTACAAGACTCAGAGGAAATATGAAAAAATAATAATTTATGGCGACTAGTTCAATCTTTAGGCACTTATTTTGAAATCCACTGCCCTTTAGGTACGAAGCAAAGCGGTTTTCCGCGCTAAAAGTCGCTTCAACAAGAAAACTAGTCAGAAAAACAATATAAATCGTCATTTCGTGCTCAAAATTGACGTAATCGTAGGAAAAAATAACCGACAGGAAACCCTAAAATCCGCCAAACAAGTTCTCCGGTGGGCATGATCTTGTCTTGTTGACTCCCGATATATGTTTCGTTTGTTCAAACAATAGTTTACTCAGTGACGTTTAGTGTTTCGGTGGATAATGTTTTCAAGATGAACGTTACTATTCTACAATATTTATTCAGGGTGTTACGTCATGATCACTGTTGGGTCTGTTATGTTTGTGTTGGGATTTCTGGGATGCTGTGGCGCAATCAAAGAGAACAGGTGTTTACTGGGAATTGTAAGTATATATATTCGGTGGTCTTGAAGTATGCGCACCGAGATGTCGCCTAACCTGAATCTTAACCTGGTACACAACCTGAGTTCATGTTGTGCGCCATCTTGGTGCGCATACTGCAGGAGGTCCATATATTTCAATATTTGTCAGAGGATTGCGTATGTACATTAGAAAATAAAGATTATAAATGTTTCTATACTTAAGAATCCGTATTAATAAATCATTTAAAAAAAATTATATAGAGTCTCATATATTATAGTGTTACCTGCAAAAAAATTTCATATTGGTAAAATTTAACACACAAATACGCAAAGACTTGTCCTGTTTTCAATGAAATTATCAGCCTTACGAATTTTTTATGATTTTCACAAACATTGTCTAAAGCTGTGTACATCTAGGTGTGGCAATTTCACGCAATATATAAATGCCGTTTTGATCATAATGTACGCCAATAAAATAGTTACTTCGTTAGCATTCTGCCCTGTCTAAACTCATACAACTCCATTTTATATGACGTACTTTCTATTTACAGTATTTTGCATTCCTGTTTATCATCTTCATTGTCCAATTGGGAGTTGGAATTTGGGGACTTGTCAACCAAGATACGGTAGGTAATTTATAATTAGTGATGCTATATGCCGTACTTCATAAATTAAAAATGTTCAAAACCAAGTTGAATAAAATAACGCCAAACATAACCTACCAATCCAAAGAAAATCTTAATCAGGTCATATACCGGTGCTTCGAATTTGTACCGCATCTTTAATTACCGCCCTGGGAAAATTTTAGATAACCGCATGGGTTTCTCGTCTGTTTCACATTCGACTGCGTTAATAAGTAACTAATTATATTGATAGTGGTATCTCATTCATTATGATATCTATATTATGTAACATTCGGGTAACCATTTTTCCAAATATTTGTATATGCTATCATTATAACGTTGGGAATAAGCTATAATAAGTCTATTTTGTGAAAAGAAAGTCTAGTTTTATTTGGAATAATTCGAAAACTACCTTATTTTTTAGACATTATTTATTCATGCTTATTTTAGATCGAGCAAGATATTCAAAACGCCTTGAATGAGTCTACTCCGCTGGATCCCGCGACAGATGAGGCATACACACAGAGTGTAATATCCATGGAAAATAGGGTGATGAAGCATTTGAATTATAATTTTTATTTATAGCTGATGTGGAGGTAGTTTCGAACATCGAATTTAGCGAATAATTTTCCTCCGTTTGCCCTGAAAATAATACAACACTAACAAATAGTAACAACTTGGGAAATGCGGATAAGTAATCGTGATTGTGGTCTTCCTTGTTCACCCCACCTGAATACTAATCTGATAACGGAATTATTGTTATTGCATATATCTTTTTTTTTTTTTATTTATTTTAGAATTTTTTTTTCAATTTTGACTGCATAACTGTAACCTTAACTGCATATACTTATAACATTATAAAATCACATTTGTGAACATGTTCTGCCGACGTTTCTACGAATCTTAAAATCGATGAACTACAGGCCTACATGAATAGATTTTATTGTACAAAGCTTTTTTAAACTATTCAGTTCCAATGTTGTGGATTGGTGAATGGATGTTCCGATTGGAAAGACGGCGTTGCTTACGGATGTGCATGCAAATTAACAGAAGAAAATTGTGGAGTTGTGCCGGGAGAATGTTCGAATGCTGAAAGCAACCCTCTGTCAGGAATTTACACACAAGTATGATTCTTGAAAAAATATTTGTCATTTTTTTTTTCGAAATATGCTGTAGAAAAGTATTCTGATATTCATATTGATTATTTGCCGCTCCCGAAGTATGTGCGCCAAGATGACGCACAACCTGAACCCTAACCGGGTCCACATACTTTGTTCAGGTTGTGCGCCATCTTGGTGCACATACTTCCGGAGATCCGATTATTTTCATCACTATTCTAATCACTAATTGTTTTATGATTTTACAGCCTTGCTACAACTCCATTTATCAAGTCATAATAGATAACCTGGTCCTTGTTGCTGGTATCGCGATAGGAATCGGACTGATGGAGGTATTTCATATCTTAGTATAAATTTCATATCTTAGTATAATTTGTTATTATTGTAGAGTGATGTATTTGCAAATCCGGGAATAAAAAAAATATTGAACTGTTGCTAGCGCTTAAATTAGTTTGCTACATAATAATAATTGGCATTAAGCAATCCTAACTAGAAACATTCAAATTTCAAAAATGTGATGAAAAGAAATATTTGTGTTCATGTAAGAGTTCTTGAAAATACTGCCCTTGTGAGCAAATGAAAGATGCTTTTTTGTAATGATTTATTTTTTTTAATTTTTTTAGATATTTGGAATGATCTTCGTTATCGTTATTTGCAGAAACAAAAAGAAAGAATATTCATCATATTAGATCTAATTAAAATACAATCACAATAATTTCTTAATAATATAATATAAGCATTAATAATTATTCAGTTGATGAAGTTTGAGCCATAAGCGTAACCGTATCATGTGCTGACCATTGTCAACGACCAATAATTGTCATAAATCTGTAAATATTGTTGTTAATTTTTACGCAATTAATATTTAAAATAAATATGTAGTATTTGTAGAAAAACAAAAAAAAAACTCTCGTTCAGTATTCACTCGACATTAAATATGGGCATGGTTAATTTTATACAAGTTCATAAGATGTTTTGATTACACACGCACATCTTACAACAAAGGTAATTTTTAGTTTTAACTTTTTTCATTTTGGATTTGTCTTCAGGTAGTACTTTATCTCAAAAAATATGCTGTTTGTTATATATATCGAGAAAATAATTTTGAAATATCCGTAGTGTACAACAAAAGGGGTAATTTTCTTTTCCATCAGAATTTTCTTTCTCAACAAACACAAATCATTTTTACCGAAACACCTCCAAATATGTACAACAATACAATTAAAGAACTTGAAACTTGTTAAATTGAAGAGAGTCAAAGGGTCGAAGGAGAGCTACAATGGGAAACCCAACTTCAGTCTGAAAGCGAGCAATTTTGCTCACGTTAACTAGAAGAAAGTTATGATGAAATAGGAAGCTTGTGACCACTTTGTTCCTCTTTGTGTTGTTTCATCGCCCAGCATTTCACAGCGACAGCGGTATCCCCAGCGGTGACTTGTTGGCATCAAAGCAGTCCTCAGTGTCAAAACAAGCTATATCTATATTATGAAAACTCATGGTCGATACTAATTAAACTCGAAACTTGCCTCCAAGTCGGCGATCTAGGTTCAATAGATAGAAAATTACTTTTAAAATGAATTATGATTCGTTGACTCTGATGAAGGCAATGCCCCAGACTTCCTGACTCTGGCCGTCTGCTCGCATCATGCTAATTAATTTCCTTGTTTAGATCAACTTGTCGTGGGTTTATTAGCGCAGTTTAAACTAGGTGTATTATGAAGGCTTTCGTCAGAATGTACAATGCAACAGTTGCCTTGCCTTGCATTTAAAGAGGATCTCTGACATCTCGTTCCTCAGCTGGACGTTGTTATGTGCTTAGATTTTTGCGCGTGTGTGTGTTTACATGATTTCTATAGATCTGTTATATCGCCACAGCTACACCAACTTTTTGAGTTCTTCTTAATTAACAGGTTCAAATATTTTGTGAAACTTGACATGCACTTAGTTCGGTGATGGCTCAACAGTTTAATTCAGATATCAAGCCCGGGATCACGAACGGACAACTTGATGATTCAAACAAACTCGCTATGACATTTTCTGTCTCTCCTGCTAAAGATTTTCACAGTTACAAAGCACTTTTGCATTTGTCCAGCTGCAGTAATCGAAATTCGGCCGCAAAATCTCTGACAGACAGAGCTAAAATAACTAGAATACTTTTTAATAGCAGTAAATTGTGAATTTGTTTGCTGAAAACATCGGCGAAAAAAGTGATGTGAGAAATTTTTCACCATGTTTCACGAAAAAAAAAACGCTGTTGTGAAATAGAGACACAGCAAAATATTAGGCGAGTCCTTCAGTTCCGTATGACTCCATATGATGAGAAATTTGAAGAAAAAATAGATGTGTTAAAATTCATTGACGATTGGTCCAATAGTCACGGTTTTTACCGCAACGACAATAATCCATAGATAGATAGCCTACTCTTCGCGTCCAATATATATAATATAATAGGAATTTCATGATAATAAAGTAGTCTATGAGCAAAATTTTTTGTCATTCAAGGCTTAGGTGAAGGGTTCGAAAACTTCCAATATATATTATCGACTTATTTCAGCGGTTCCAAAACTTTTTGCTCGTGAGGCGCAAAATTTTCAAAAAAAAAACTAACGGCGCACGGCTCACACACGATAAAAATGCTGCTTTTAAATAAAACTCAATTTTATGCCCTTTAATTAATATTTGTAAACATGTAGGCCCAAGGAATAACGGCAAAAGTATAGCATATATGATTGGTAAATGAATGTGATGTTACCGTATGTTGCTATTTTGTAGATTGTCTCTGACTTGCAAGTCACCCGTTCACCCTTCAGCTTCAACGTCCACGTGAATGAGGAAACTTTAGAAAACCCTGTTTGATTTTATTCTCAGATTTCGACAACACGCAGAATACAAAATCTTATAACATTTATCCAGACTAGTTTAACATTGAAAGATATCGAGTCGTATTTATATAAGTCGATCATAAATCTTATTAAATACTGTAAACGTGAGCTCGTGATTCACGTTATAAACAGAAACTCCTATTATCTCCATAAGGGTAATTATGTACATCGTACGGATGGGAACTTAGATATAATTATTTCAATCAGTGCCAAAGGTCTTGAGAATATAAATTTTAATTTGATAATGACTGGGTGGAACATGTTGTATTCTTAAAACTGGTGTAATTTGATTCCTACGGAAGTCTTTGTTCAAATTTTGGGAAAAATTAACTTTGTTTTGATGATTTCAACGTGAAATAGGGTACATTTGGGGGTTAGTTGCTATAAAAGGTCAACCCTTTTTCTTCATCTCTGCCTGATTTTCCTTTAAAATGTTAAAAAACTCTCATGTTCGCTAAATGCGGTTCAGCAGATAATTAATTGCAGCTTGCAAAATTGTAGCAAGCAATGCCTATCCTTATTGTTAGGTAACAATGGAGACAGGCAATATGCAACAGAAAATAAACAACATAGAAAAGTAAATGAATTTATTGATTCATATACACAGCATTTGAAGTAGGGTAAAAATTAAACATAATAAATACAATATGGGAAATATTCAATCATATTTTGGTTATGTTTAATACAATTCTGTTAATTTTTGCGGCACACTTAGCAACCCGCCTCTGCCTTAGATGGATGCAATAACACAGAGAAAAATTGAGGTTAATATTCTTATTTTATATATAAATATACTTCAATTATTGAAATCGAAATTTTTCCCATGTTATTTTTCACATGTCTCACAAAACATAGTAGAATAGAACTACAAAAATATGGGCTTTATGTCGTGGTAATGCATTGTCACAGAGGAAATAATAAGTTAGTCGGTTATATTGAGCCGTAAATATATGAAATTGGTTCTTCCGGATAAATTATTCTGTCGTTTCCGACCCCGTTGTTATTTTATTTCCGTCTTTGAGTTATCTTTGTTGATGTTTCTCCAAATCTACACATTTCCCAGACCTATGAAAATTATAGAATATATTTAGCGAAAATCCCTTTGTTTCGTCGGAATAGCAAACACTTACCTAGGTGTTTATTTACAGTTGAATTATCTTCGTCGTCTTTCCCGTATCCCATCCTAAAATCTCGTAAATAACCGCGGCCGTCGTCCAAAACAAACATGCGAGCATATAGAAACTGACACATTCATACGAAACATTCAACACACAAGCTAGAAACATACTGTTTTCACGCACACACACACCTTCACACAAAACGTTAACATGAAAAAATAAACTCGATCCAATAGTTCCGGCTGATATCAATACGTATATATGTAATGGATGTTCCCACGAGCATCGATTTCTTTGTTTATTTCCGTAACAATGACCAATCAACAAAAAGTCAACCCTGACGTAACAATTGTAATTTTAAAGCCTCTCAGAAAGATATTCAAGCATGGTTGTGAACATTTATTTTAGTTGAAATAATCAATAATGAGTCCCGGAAAAGCTGCGAATGACTAGACTAAAATTAGCTATTAGTACCTGTATGCGCCAGGTTGTTGTATATTTTAATGAAAGTAATTTGAGCATGTAAATCAAATTGTGAGTTCCAACTCTTCAAACGACTCGCAAAATAAGCATCCAACTTTTTTGCAATAGTAAAGTATAGGTAGAATTTACTTTTCTGGGCTCAATGGTCGAGGAAACATCCATATGTCATATTGCGCCAACACCTTGCTCGGTTCAATAACTGAAAAGCAGTAAATCATTGTTACCGAACTTGTTCTTGTATCATTATTCAAACTTCGAATCTCCGGTTTTGATATACTATATGTTGCAACAATACCCACTGCTCCGAATTCCATTTTATATCCAGCGGTTGTTTGTCCCACACTCGAACCTTCATTATTAAAAAGATTTCGTAAGTGAGGCTTGGCTCCAATACATCAAAAAAAAACATTGCCCACCTTCTAAAGCAATACTTCCAATTTCATTTTCTAACTCCTCTGCGATCGCTTCGAGTCCATCAAAGTTTTCAGCTGTAAATACGCGAGTATCGTCCGATGTATTACCATTTGCAAGTAACTGAAATTAAATGCCTTTACAATGTGTGTCACCAGCTAAAATTAACTTCGGGCATTCTCCTATTTGGAAGGTTTAGTTAAAATATTCAATTCTACTATATGTGGGAGAGTTCTCTTTTTGTTGTCAATGCGATCGGACGACTCAGCTAGTTTTAGATATTTTCATCTTAAATCATTGTATAGCTGTCCAAATAATTGAATGGTATGAATGCTAAACTACTAGTATGATTGTGCCGTTTCTAATTGAATTTTTATGAAACTTTATTGAAGCAAAACTTCTCAAGGATAAAAACCATAACTACCCTTGTGGGAATCTCAAAGGGAACTCGCGAATAACAAACAAAATTTTTTTTTTTTAAATCTCCACATATAGATTTTGAAAAATATTATTTACTCTCAGTTCACTTCTTTTGTAGTTTCCAACTCCAATGGCGTAGATTGTTACTCCCATATCCCGTAATGTTTTAGCATTTGCTGAAATTGAATCTGAATCGTCAGCTCTGAGAAATAATGGATTTCAAGTTAGTTTGTGAGCTCTTTTTAGCTTTCATGCTGTAATGTTACGTTATTGAGTATTTAAAATTTTATTTTTATGATTCATGGTAGACGTTTGTGATCGTAAAACTATTTTCCAATATCAAAACGACTTAAAGAGTAAAATATATACAATCACAGTTCATTAATGATAATTTTTTTCTTCATTCGATCATTGTTACATTTTATCACACATAGCATGAAGTAATATAAAGGGTTTAGTGAGATTCACAAAATGCACTTTTGATTCGAGGTTAGTTCACTACACGCTATCAAGTTGGCGTGACATAACCATTTTTGCATATGTCATTTCTAACCCCCACGCGACAACGCCATCCAAAACTTACGTCACTACAACGTCACATTGACGAAATAAGGCTCGTCAAAGTATACAGATTGTCGTCCAAAACGCGCAGATGATCACCCAAAATCAAGCAAGCTATTTCTCTCGTTTTCTTGTCGTAACAATCCCCATACGCGTACGAGAGAGATCGCTGGCGTTAGCGAGTTTATTATCGCGGCGGATAAGGCATTTCGGGCGATTGTAGCTATTCCTCGGCAAGCTCTATGACGTGTTTGACGTCATTTTCGGATGACCTAGTGGGGATTAGGAATAACATATGTAAAAATGTTTGTGCCACGCCAACTAGAAGTACTCGCGGCGTTTGGTGAACATGCGACGTTGATTCTGGGAGCTGGTTAACTTGTGGAGATGTATAAAATTCTACGTCTTTGCGTACCGATTACATTATATGATTATACGTTATTAACTTTACGCATTCTCAGATAGTAAGCATCTTTCCTATAAATAAGTACTGCCTATATGCCTGGCATTGAAACTTTGAACTTTGAATCATTATGAAGTACATGTTTACGTTGTAAACGTACGTTGTTTACAAATTTGTAGTATATTTTGCCTCTGTATACAGTGCATCGTGCGCTGCCTTGTAGACCCAGTATTACCCTTTTTTCCTTTTGCTTGTAGCGTAATTTAGTAATTTTATCTGTTGTCTGGTTTAGCTTTTTCCTTTCGGTCATTTCCGCGTCACGTACTCGTCGTGTAAGAGCCGCAGATATTGGTTCGTGTTGTGGACTGTTTACTTATCTGTTATATGTATATGTTGTAATTGTATTAGCCACGCGGATCAGAAAACGTTTGGTAAGAATTTTTGCCTTTTGTTATTCATATAGGCTTTGTGACTATAGGTTAATCAATTGTGTTCTATTCATTTAAGAAAACCGCTGTTCTTTGCCAAGTGTATAAAGAAGAAGCTGATTTATGCATGTGTCTTATTTGTGGATGAAGGGGCTGAGAGTGGCGCGTTCGATACGTTCTCATTGTGTCTCGTCTATATAGATTCCGGGCTATCAGAACACGTGACACATGTACCAGCATAGGTAAAGATCTCTCACGTAAAAAATCTCGGAAATGAATGAAAACTCGCTATCGTGCGGGTTCTATTGCACAGACGAGCAATTTTCATGTAAAAAAAATGACAACATAAAAAAACTAATTGTAAAATTTTCATTATTTCAAACTTATCAAAATTGCCTTATGTATATCCCTGTGCTGTAACATTGACCTAGTATCTAAACCGGTTTCCTAACCCAGTTTTGTACTGCACTTTACCCCCGAATAAAACATAATTCTTTACTTTCCATCCGTTAGTAGAACCATAACTTGTTTTGTTGTATTTTCCTTGAAAAGTTCAGTATTTTCAAAATCGTAAACAACTTTCTCCAAAGCTTTACCGGTGTAGGTCAGTGAATCAAATAAACTTATTGGTTTCATGGCAGCCTAAAAAGAAACATGAGAGCTCCAAAGTATGTGTACCAAGATGGCGCACATCCTGAACATAGTATGTGTACCAGGTTGATAATTCAGGTTGTGCGCCATCTTGGTGCACATACTTCTGGAGCGCCAAAAAATGATCATAGAATAAAATATTTTTTGGTCGCTGAAACCATGAATATTGTAAGCTACTTATATCGTTCCTCACTTTATGGGTCACTTGTTTTCTCAACAAAATTTAAGAATAACCGCTTTCGTTTTCTAGTAAATTTTTATATTATATTAGTATTGAAGTGTTGCTCAATAGTAACTGTAGATGTGGGAAGTATCATAACGTAAAAACTTGGCATCTGTTGTTATTGAAGTAGAACCTTCAAGCCATAATCATTATATACCGCCTAGTATTTGACCATATCCTATAGTCGCGAGATTTCCTGAATTTTTTTTTTTTTCAATTTTGGTGCTTGGAAAAACGATTAGGAACCACTAGTTTGATGTGAATAAAGTGCACGATCGGTAGAACCACGTCTTTGAGAGGTTACCATATGCCGCCCGAAATAGGTCACAGTGTCATGGTAATGTAGCTTACATAGGGACGGACACATACACATTTTCTGAAATGGCGGAAGCCGTTGTTGGTAAGTTCCATAAAAACTAAATACTGTTCCTAAAATTTTGTGTTCCACCACTGGGTATAACTAGGGCTGGGCATTTCGAATCGAATAGTGAATTATTCGAATCGGTTCGGAGCAAAATTTCGAATCACTGCCATCTTGTTTTTTTTTTCTTCCCGCTAACGGTCGAGGGGGAAATCATGGGGAGATAATCTGCACATTTACAGATCAAATTAAATTAATATTCCTACTCAATAAAATCTTTTTTTACTCACAGCAAAAGATTGGTAGTTGGTGTACTCTCCTATTTTGATATACGTTTTGATTTGGGGTTGATCCTGAATATCTTTACTGAAATAAAAATTCATGCATCATGATCACTATAATTGTCTTGGAATTATGTATGGCATTTGTCAGTTTAATAATGTCGGAACAGCAAGGCCGTGAAGTCAGAATCTGTCGTTATTGAGGGGATTGGGGACAGTGAGCCAGTGTTTTCGTGTTTTTAAATTAAAAGTCCATTTTCAAAATTTACTTTTAGAGCAGTATGGTTTCAACATTTTTGGTGTAGTGGATCCCAGTAAACATTTCAGAAACTCGGGGAATCGCTGCTCTATGTATTATATGTATATTTGATTATTTCATTATATTTGTTATCATATAATGAGCCTATCAAGTATGTAAAACGACAATTTGACGCAGAACACCTCTCAATCTTCCATTTAACGCTGGTGAAACACACTTATAATATGATTATATATATTATACCCGTGTATATGCTTGAAACAATATACAATACAGAATTTCGGATTTGAATGTGAACTTCCGGAAGCTCTGAAAAACCACTGCTTCAAAGCAGGGGTCACCAAACTACGGCCCGCGGGCCAGATCTGACCCGTGGCGTCCTTTCATCTGGCCCGCAATAACACGAAAAAATGACGAATTCTTTTTCAAGCGATGTTTCCACGAGCATAGACATCCTTGTTCATTTCGTAACATTGGTCAATCAGCAAGATGCAAAAAGTGACTTAACAATAAACCGTTTCGCATCCGCTCAGACACTTTTGTGACTCAGACAAATTTTCAGTCGTTTTCGCGATTTTGAGTGTTATTCGTCAGTTTTTGGTCGTGATTCCGAAATTCAAGTATGAATCAAAAGAGTCAATCATTATTTTGTCTTCTTAGGAGTTGCAGTTTAATTGCAGTGATCAAAAAATGTCTAGAAATATCTGTGATAAAATAGGCTAAAATTCTCTACCAGTACGCAACGTTTTCTGCGAAAGATGCAGTCGTGGCGCGTACTTTCGGCGAAACTGTTGCTGTGTACGTTTCTCGTGCTAAAATAAAGGCCGAACGAGCATTTTGCGCTAATAGTAAAAATCATGTTAACTTTTGTACTGCTTACAAGCGGATATTCATGGAAGCAATTGTTTTGCTAACAGCTAACCTCGGGATAGTTATCTAGAAGTCTTGTATATTTGTTTTACTATAATGTTCTTCATCTATATTCTGCGATATAGAATTTAATATTCAGGACTTCAGAAATGTAGAACTTATATTGTTGAATAAATTGAATGGATTTCCCAACTTTTGGGAATTTATTGTATTGCTATTTGGCCGGCCCGTTTCAACACAGTTTGAGTCATACCTGGTCCGCGGTCAAAAAGTTTGGTGACTCCTGCTTTAGAGAATATCCGGGCATTGTTGAACGTGTCGGTTATCTTTCCGTTATGCAATAACCTTTGTAAGGTGGTTTTTATAAAGGTATTATGGTATTTGGGAAAAGCACGGATCGTCATCAACATATAGATTAATATTGATAAATCTCAACAAAAACTTACTTCTCATAATAATATGAATATTGAACTACTCCAACTGTTACTACACCTTTGTCAATGTTTAATTTTTCAGTTATAGTCTTTACCCAGTTCTTGACTATCGGGAAATTTTTCTCCCCAACGGATCCAGATCCATCCAAGACAAATAAAAGTTCGACATTTCGTATTGGACATTCTGTAATGCATAAATAAACGACACAGGTGCTTTTTGTTACCCAAAAGAATGATTGCGCAAGATACAATGATTTATTAAATAAGGGTGATGACGGTTACAAAGCGTGACCAATGGGTCGCAAAACATTTCCTAATGTTACATATAGAAGAAAGGCCGCCGAATTTGTGATTGTTCAATGTTCAATGAGTTACAATTAAAATACTGCTGAGCCAGGGTTAATATACAGTATATATTTTACGGACCTTAAGGCGCAGCGGGTTATTAGGCGCACTGTCAATAAATTGCTTAGATTCGGTTTTGATTCATACATAATGTGCATCGGACTGTGAGCTCAACCTGTAATGGTTTTGAGCGATCGATTCTGGACAAAATAGTATTTAAAGCACGCCTTGTGATCCGTAAAATACGGTACTGTTCTACGTTGCGTGTGAGCTTGTCTCCGATCAGACCGACTTGATTTGATAATATTCAATCTCAAGTTTCACATTAATAGTGAATTGCACGTGGATTCATTGTTTCTATTCTCATATATTTACATTTTCTTGTGAGTCGCACAAAGAAAGTAGCAATAAAAGTGGGTCGCGAACTGAAAAAGATTTGGAAGCACTGCGTTGGAGTCTTGCAAGCGTACCAATACGGTCAGCTCGTCGGGAGGTGTTTCGAAGAATATGACATAAAGATAATCATGAAATTAATTGTGACTACCACAGATGCTAAAATTAATATCCAAGCACAGAGGTTATAATGAGGTTATAAAGAGGTTTTAATGTCAACCTACCAAGCTTTTTGGTTCTTCTATCTTTTTCCCACGTTAAACCAAAGTTGTTTGATTTGAAACAAAATCCCGGCGTGTAGGTGAAATTTCCGCAATCATCTTGCATTCGAGTTATCGAGCATGACTTTATATGTTAAAGTATTCATGTTATATATCACCGTGAAAACAAGACGTTAGCAACTACGGATTGGGTTGGGGTTAGTCAAACTGAAATGATTATAGTCAAGCAGATTAACAATGATGGGCCATAAAAGTATTACTATATTTAAGCGTAAGCCGTTGTTGAACATTGATAATCACAATTAAATAAAAGTACTATTATATATATATGATATTTGTTTACGTATTTTGACGCAGCCTATACGTATTTTACCGTGATATTTTCCGAAACCGTTGTCGGTATTGATATCCCAAAATTGTCTCCTGCTTTGGACTGTCTGGGATTACTGTAGGTACATTTAGGTGATATCCCTTGAAAAATCGTCTCATCAAGTTGGCAAACGTGAATACTTCCTTTTGGCTCTATAATATAAATACAAATGATAATTTTACTTTAAATGGTACATATTAAAATGCAGAACATGTGAGACGTAAAACTTGTCAAACAAAATCAAACGAAATCCAATCCATCAAGAGATCAGTCTCTTTTCAGTTCCATACAGTTAATACAGTTTCTTCCTTTGCTACAGTAAAGTAAATCTCTACATTATAAGTCATTGCAGAAAACGTTAATCAACCTCAATATAGATTAAAAGATGACGGACACTTGTGGAATCACATTTACACAAAAGTTCTTGGTAAAAATTATGTTTTTTGGAATCATTACTTTACCATTGAATATGATTTGCCCATTCTCAACAATAGTCGTCGGCTCAGCGCGATAATTAAAATTTTAATGAACGATTATCAAATATCTTGACCATGTTTATCATGATAAAAATATCAAAAATAATGTAAAAAATATTCTATCCTTGAAACTACACATGTATACGATGAAACACATCTAGAAAATCTCAAAAAATGCAAATTTCTGCTCTGGTGATCACATTTCCCATAAGAGCTAATGTTAAAATTTTTTTTACATCACTTTTATTTTTGCGCGTAGGATGGGTTTTAAATGACTAAGGTCTATTGATATCCATTATTTCTATACACCCTGAGTTAGATCTTACGCTGTGGAAGATCTCACAATATAGTAGCACTCACAATTAGCTAAAGGCAAACCTTAAAAGTATTTTTACAAAGACGTAATCGTCCATTCTTATCTTAAATATTTCTTAAAAATATGAACATATGTTTTCAAAATAGAAAAATCTTCTCCTTCATTACGACGTAACTAACCAATTTGTTCCGTTTTGTTTGTGCTTCCAGATATCTGCAAATTTATAGAGGCAGGATCTATCATTTTTGGAGATCCAATCAACATGCTAAAATGTAACACAAAATAGAAGAACAAAATCATTGAAATATTCACAAAATGTAATATTAGACGATAACTTTACCGTTAAACCATATTCTCATCAAATATTCTAACATTATTTTCAGATCATCTGGTAGAGCAAAAGCCTGACAAAGGTAAATAAAGTTTCAACGGCTTACCGAGCTTAATGCACGCGCTGAACAATTTAACTTGTAAAATGCAATTACCTGATATTTCCTCCGCTATTGACAATTATTTTGAAATCGTATCCATAAAAAGAACTGTTCACGCTGGTGGGTAATTGAAGTGATGAATTGATACCAAATTTTGCATCAACAGGTGATACCATATATTGTGCTGATTCGTCAGTCGATGCCAAGTTGATTCCATATACGTCTACTTTTGTTGTTACCAGTAGTATAATTCCGAACAAAAATATATTATGGAGCTGCATTTTTGCGTTTTCTGGCTTAGATTCTCAATGCAGTACGATTTTATTTTTTTCTCTGAAAAATGTACACATTATATATTCCTTTATGTGTAAAAGACTATTGATATTTATTTTAAAATATTTCGGTCCGCATCTAACCACATATGCCTTCGGAAATTCCTGATCAAATGCCAAACAATATAATGATGGAGCGACTTTTAAAATTGCTATTATGCAAGGAAGAACGAATTAGAGTTACACAATGCCAAATACATGAGGAAGTTGTGACAACGACTGTGAGTCACTCGACTGTGAATTCAGATTCAGATACGCTTTCTCATCGGCGTGATTCCTCGCCAAATGAGTTTCACGAAATGCTCCATCTTTTAATTATCCCCGGTTCCGTTTAAACTCGAGAACTGAGTGCTTCTATTGTACCACTTTCTTGTTCAGTATCAACAGAAAAAAAACAGTTGATTGATTTTCATTCAGTGCTAAACGTGGTCTCATTTTTCAATACCTAAGAAATTGGCCATTTTTATAATGCAAACGGAATAAACCGCCCACGAAAAAGTATTTCGCAAGAAATGTGGGATGTTATTAAAAACAAACTTGCATAAAGATTGGTTTACGAGTACTTTTGCGCTAACGATGTTTTTGTGAATATAATTGTGTGAATTACTTTTCGCTTGAATATAGTTTAGCAGGAATGTATGTTCGCGGAAACTTTTGTCTGAGTTTTGCAAAACGAACATTTAACAAACGAATGGAGCGCGTGAGGAAATCGGTTTCCCATTATTTTCGGATGCATTTTCTTTGACCAACAATGTGATATGTTTATTGGTGCCGTGTTGTGATTGGAAAAATTGAAATGTCTACCGGTCAATGATTATATATGTATATGAATGGCCGAAGTTTGACATTAGGTAGTAATACTTCATGTTCAACACAGCCAAGATGTGGTTAGCCTAATTGTCAAAGCAAGCGACACCATTCTACAAAAATCTACTACTAGTTACGAAAATCATGCATAAAACGATCTCTCTTCCGGCATCGAGTACTGCTGTGAGCAGTTTATCAAAAAAAATGACACTGTGCACGAAAAAAAAATCATAAATCAGCTTACAGATGAGCACTTGCAAGTTCAAATTCGAGTTGCAAACAGAGTTATTAGATGGTCCGACTGTCATCGTTGCCATAATTTCAGGATTCGTCTCATTGCGATAAGAAGTTGAACACTGCTGCTCTAAAGTCTGCTATTTTTGAGACGCCCATCAACCTTATTTTTTAGGAGCTCAATAGTCTAGTTTAGTAGTTTACGCTCATTGTGTATGTTTCGTGTCCCAGAATTTATGCCCATCACCTAATTAAGACAAATAGCCGATGTTGAAAGAAAGACCTCGGTATTTAAAAATTGTGTAAAGCAGTTTTTTCAATAAATTGACTAATAACGAAGAAGCTTGTTCCAAACGACGGTAAAAAGCGTCTCACAAAAATTTTAAAAGTTATTTGACTCATAATAAATACCATCTTGATAATGTCAGATAGAAAACTATATTTGATATTCCGGTTTGGCAGTTTCAGCGGACGAGTTGTGGCAATACGCCCACATATTTTCAACAATGATCGACTTTAACAGGATATTACTAATATTCTGTACTGACTAAAAGCAAAAGACGAGAAAGATTTCTTGTTTGACAAAGTTTTGAGCTTTGCAACGACGTATTCCTATCTTTTAATCCTATTCACTCTCTCAAATAGCACTCTCAATTATTCAAAAAAATGTATTTCATTTCAAGGTAATTTTCGGCGGAAATGTTGTTACTATGACTATTGCAAACTGCTTAGAACAGCGGTTTTAAAACTTTTTGTTCGTGCGGCGCCAAATTATCAGGTAAAAAACATTCGGCGCACTTGCACGAAAGAAATGCTTCTTTCAAATAAAACTTAATTTTGTGATTGTTAATGTGTACTTTATGCTCTTTAAAATTTGTAAACATGTGGGCCTAAAGAATAAAGGCAAAAGGTCAACTCTTTTTCCTCATCTCTGTCTGATTTTCCTTTGAAATGCTAAAAAAACTCATGTTTGCTAAGCACGGTTCAGCAGATAAATAAACCGCAGCTCACGAAATTGTGACGTAACAATGGAGGCATGCAATACGCAACAGGTAGTAAACGACATAGAAAGGTAAAATGAGTTTATTAATTCATAAACATAGCATTTAAAATAGGGAACAAGAAAACATAATAAATACAATATGGGAAATATTCAATCATATTTTGGTTATGTTTAATACAATTCTGTTAATTTTTGCGGCGCACTCGGTAACCCGCTGCGGCGCACTATTTAGAAGCCTCTGACTTGTTTGATTAATTGACAAATTATTACACCGTCCCCGTCTTTTTTTAACTGCGAATACCAGTGGCAAGACTTTCATTTTACTTTGCCGATTTAAATTGGATTTTTGCTCTAAAAGTTACCTGTTTGAAAATACGAATAGGTATTATGAGATTATAACGATGAATAGCTATAGATAGCATGTTACCCCAAGATGTCGCTCCTCACTAGCACCACATAAGCAAATCTTGGGAATCGTTACTAGTTTCTATATAGGACCACACATCACTAACTTGAACATAAGCTTTAGAATAATGGTTTTTCATATATAGGGATGTCATTTAATCAACTTATTCCTAAGATCTAACCCTTACTATGTATGTTTGCTATGATGAAATCAGGGTGATATAAAAGTGATATAAAAATGAACGGGAGAAACTTTGGAAATGAGATATTCGCAACATTGTTTTGTATTATATAGCTTCGTTTATATATTGAATAACTGAAATGAAAACTAATTAATAATTTTCACAGAATACTTTTTTTGTTGTTGATCAATATAGGTAGAACCTGAATTTGATAACTCCTCATTGTATAGTCAGAAAAAATGAATCAATGTCTGTTCATAGCCCCCACACGTTGTAATTGAAATACTATATCTTGTCGAAATCCCTCAAAAATTCGCATACGTTACCCTGTCGTAATCTAACACCATGTTTACTTGTAATTGTCATTTTTACAATAAATGAGTCAGATTATTAATCACCAAAAGCCAAGGTCAATTGCATCTTAATTAGTTAGTCAATTACTCGTATTTAGAAAACATGTTTGTATCGTTAATCATTATATTTATTAGATTTTTTGATATCGTACGATTTCTTGATATAACAATATAATAACAATATAAACAGCGTTACTGTGCTATTTATGTACTATGCTTCCTACTTTCCATTTGAATTAATTGATAGAAGATCAGGAAATGAGCATTATTTTTTCAAAGAATTTACAAACAAATTTTTCATTGCTGGCTTTGAAAAATAATTACGTCACATTTTTATTTTATTTATAAAGGTATGACATACTGTTTTTTTTGTTTGTGATGGAATAATTGACGTTTCTGAATAAATACAGAATAATTTGACTTATGATTACGTAACGGTATTGAACCACGGTACTTTGTAAAGGTAGGAGAGCAAAAATCCTCGGTAGCCTAAAATGGCCATCTAATCGCAGCTTTAAGAATAATAGTGGTTTTGATAATCCCAACCCGCTTCTTCATCCTTCATGCATGGTACATTAACCCGTTCATTATTAAGTGTAATTTGAGAGTCAAATTACTCTAAAATCCGTGTAATTAAGTATTTCTGTTGCCATAAAAAATACCACAGAGGAGTGAAAAAATGATTTTTGAAAAAGTGGTAACCGAACATCGATCATTTTTTGAAATTTGGAAGTAGTAAACAGTTTTTTTCTATCTTTTTTGTACCTGTGCCACAACTCATCAATACCAGTGGTTTATTAATGAGTAAATATTGACATGCTGCCAATGTTATGTACAGCCATAAATATGCACATGTATAGCCAAGTAAATACATGTAATATTCAGTAGGTATGCATATACAGCCAATCATATATATATACCTATATATTTTACATGCTCAAAATTGATTTTAACCTAACCGAATTTGTCGTCGTTCTTCAAAATTGTGTATCTGAAATTGATCTAGCTTAAATGCCGCTTTCAGGTAGCGATCCTCAGTAAGCTGAAGATAATCGAGTCGAGTAACTGTAACCAAGTGTCCGCCAAATAAATGAGGAGAAATCGTAGGCTACTTTCTCTCAGCATAATAACCTTTTAGTATCATCCAAATCAGGAAAGTTATATTGCCTGCTGACATTTGGATAGTTTCAATTCATTAATCCCATATCACGGTACATTAGACACAAATATTTTAAATTTTCAGGTCAGGTCAACATTCTGAAAACCTCAAATTTGTAACTGCCATTTTTGTGGTCATGGCGCCTAACTTTACATGATTTTAAGATTATAACTTGACTGCTGGCAATTTGTCAATCCGTAAAATGATGGAAAAGGACTTCGGGCACGAACACATCAAACTACGTTGAAAACGTTAAATTATTTTTCAGTTAATTGAGATGTGAATAGTGTGTGTGATAAGTATCCGTACTTACGTTCTAGAAAACTGTTTTGATCTTCCGTACAAATACTTGTGGAATACCAAATCAAATTCGCTTATTACTGATACCTATTCTCGTTGAAATGTCGTTTTTGAATACCAATGGATTTATATTATTTTATACATTTAATATCGTTATGTCGTGTTTTATGGAAATATTATAAATTCAAGTTTTATGTTTGAATTATTTTCGAGAATCGTTTCGGAAACCCCCTTCAGCAAATGCATCATCTAAGTACCTCGACATGTTCAAATATTCTTGAACTCTATAGATATAAATAACTTTTCAAAGGAAGAAACTTATAGTTGGTAGATACTGCAGTTTGCGAGATACAGAAATATGATTGATGCGTACTAGCGTTCTATTCTCGAGTATGATATTGGTTGAATTGTTACCCGCATGCAATGTAGTCTAGTAATCTATCAACAAAAATGTTGAGTGAAAAAACAATGTCACGGGCAACTGAAAAGTTCAACAAAAAGCAATCTCAATAATTCACCACAGCGACATTCCTAGACAACTTATCATTCGATGATTTTACGGTATTCTACTTCGATGAGGGTAGTCTGTGCTTGTGACATATTAGATATCATTTTCCCTCATTTCAGCTGTTAACTTACGATCACGAGTGTGTCTCCCACCAGGCATTAGTTTGGGTCAATGGTTCTGGGTATGATTACTCGTTTTGGTTTTCTTTATTGGGGCTAATAGAAATACTTTGGTTTGCAGGTTTTGACCAAGAAAAAATTATTATAGGAATTTCTGCTATTTTGACACTTGATAGGATATTTTTACGCGTCTTTGTGAAGAATTAACATTGAATGCTACAGAATGATTGTGCAATACTAAAATACTAAATTCCATGTGAAGTAAGATCGGTTGCTAATTTAGAATAAGATTTTTATATTTCTCCGCTGGGGGAGTTCCGATAAGTGGTATAACTAACAACGGTTTCTTTTGAGCAGATCGAAAAACCATCCGTTCAAACTGAAACTAATCTCAAACTCAAAATAAAATATAGCTCAGTGTAGATCAAATAGGAATGGTTTCCTTCTCATTATTACTCAGCAAACTGCAACGACTACACAATAATATATACTTTGTGCAATTTCGTCGAAAGTTCAACAGCAAGTATTGAGTTCACTTCACTAAAACCAGTTTAATCCGGTTTGTGATGTGAAGTACAGGTCGTGTTGACAATGTAGACAATTGTCATAACTTTGTCGCTTAAGATGAAGATATATGCGAAAAACCAATATCCAGTATTTGTATAAATAGTTGCAAAACACGTTAATTATTTCTTCAAATAAAGATGGCAAAAAAAAAACTCTTTTGAAGTCTTTCCCAATAAAATTATATTTTGTTCATTTACCATACAAGGCCCGAGTACTATATCTTGAAAAACAATGGTCTAACTATGGATGCAATTATTTTCTTTTAAACAGACTACCGCTTGTATTTTAAATGTTAATTTTTTCGAAAATAATAAGTTTTGAAAACAGAAAAGGAAATTCGTTGTGTTTTTAAAAACTTCCAGGACATGCTAAATATTGAACCCTAAGGTCTGCAACACTTAAAAACAGTCGTGGGTTGGTCACGATACGGAGAGTATTTACATCCGTCGCAAGAAAAAAAATAGCGTTGGGTTTATAGTGACAATAAGTGAAAAGAATAAGTTTATGATGTAAACATCATAATGGACCAAAATTTCTAAAATATGCCAGACAATGTTTTTTAACTAAAAAAATGGCAAAATATAAAGATTGAAAAATATGAAAGTTCAAATTCTGGGTTAAAAAGCGGATATAATTTTCACGAATCTATGCACAACTATTTGAACAAGGGTAAGTTAGGTGGGTGGGAATCAAGGTTTGAAAGTTAGACACAATATATTCTTGTTCGCGGATTAAGTTTTCAATCCGTGATCATATCATTTCCCCAGAACAAATTACGTGGTGTCAAAGATTGGTGTATTCTTACAGATGATAAAATCATCACCTTTGAAATATTATACGTGTGCGAAGATTTGTTCAGGGTATAATTTTTGGAAGAGAAAATTGCTCAGACTTTGCAGATATTTGTGGTCAACTTAATATTTTGCCGGAACTTGGTGAAACCAAAACTAGTCATCAAGCAATGTGTTTAGTAGTTGTCATACAAAATTTTTGCACCTTTTATTTTATTAGTTTTTTTTATTCTAGTTTGGATAAAAATTGAACACTCAAGGTATGCAAAAAATTCACATATATATTGTTAATTACAAAAATCACAATTCATATTGTTGCAGCAAAAATAGATGGATTGGAATCACGTCAGTTTAGAACAAACATATTTGATTTGAAACAGCCTAAATTTTGACTCAATCACTAAAAATATTCTGATAAAAATTTCGTGAAAATCCAAAATACTTCAGAATGGTAATCTCTAGAAAGATGTGAAGGTATTGTAATGTAGCGTAATTACAATATCAGACAGCAAAACATGATTTTCTCTGTAATTCAAGTACATGTTTAAATTTAATTTACTCATATAATTGTGAACAGCACAGGCTTGCCGCTATCCTAACCTAGTTGTGATACTAGCATTAACATTTTTCTTTGACGCCTTCTTGGCAGCTATCAAAGATGCCGTGAATATCTATGCCATCAGGGCCGAACTCATCAATCTCAGCACACTATGCGAGAGTTATAACATGCCGTAATCTCCGATAGTGATATTCGTTGACAGAAATACACATGGACGAATGAGTTTTGCAATTTGCAAGCTGAGACCTTGAAATTTGCAATGCAATCTTGTTTTGACCTTCTCGGAATTTGGTATTTATCTAGTCTATTTATCCATCAAAGAAAAATAATTTAAAAAGATATATATAGGCATAAGCATCTTATGCAATAGGCTACACACTAAAAATATAACTTTGTTGTTTACGTATGATGACGTCCGTTACTCTCCAAATCTCAATTAGCGAATTAGTAAAGTAAACAAACCACCTCTTGTGTGTTGGATGTGTTTACAGTATCGTATAAGTTGATTTTGTTGTGTAGCATTTTGGGTTACTTTGCATAAACTTCTAGTTGGCTGAGTTGCCTGGTTTTTAATAATTGAATTGATAAATCTTTGCGACAATGCAAACGAGAGTTACAAATAGTTTTTATGGGATGCTTCTGCGGAAACAAACTTTGGACAATCAGACATTGGCATAAATTGAGTTACAATTTGGCAAATCCTTTTTAGCCGGTTTTCGATTCATAATTCCGGTAGCAATGCGTAAAACAAGTTTTGTGTATCAACCAAGTTCAACATAGCGGACAAAATCGAATGCTTAATTCAGTTTGTATTGCTCTGCGACGTTTATTCTATTAGATTAGTCTGGCCGTATTTCCTTGAAAATGAGTGAGGAATTTCATTCAATTGTGTGCCTCTGTGGGGCGCCTAACATTTACTTTCCATTTGCCAACGTCAAAATCTCAATAACAAAGCTTTATTGAATTACTTTCTGATTTTAACGAGCAGCAATACATACTTCTAGTTTTTATTTCAATCTAAATCACTAAGGTTCTAGTTCAACAGTATACGTTGAGATGGTAATGATACCACATTTTCAATGTTTGTTATCTGATATATATTGATAAAATTGATCAATCAATACAAAAAGATTTGGAATATCGAATGCTAATTCAAAATGGGAAAATCTGATGCGCAATGGCTTCAATCGATTTGAGGAATTTTGAATAGAGATGACAGAATGTGATTATGAAATAAAATGAAATATAAAGCTTTCAATGGAGGCCTATAGTAGTACAACTATACTGGCATGCGAATGGTCTCCTAACGACTGTGCGCAACAATGCGGTTAAACGAAATACATATTGTAGGATGTTTTGAAATTTTCATTATAGTTGGTAAAATATCATGGGATTTTCATGTCTATCGCGAGGAGAGGCAAACTGCTAGGACGTCATAATCATATGGCAAACCACGGCCTCTTGTCCAGATACTAGTCCATGTAGGGGGAGAGTTAACCAGTTATTTGAGATGAATGGTCTCGAATTGTCATCAATTAAAAGAACTAGACTGCAAAATCTTAGCAGTTATATAATTTACTTCGCGTATATATTACACACTACAGAATATTATATTGAAAATAAGGCCTTCAATGATAGTGATTCAAAGTTTTTGTGATTCAAAGGAAAAACCATTTCATTGACGCAATAATTTAAACATGAATTCGATTTCATATAATCCCGCTTACGACTCTTGAATACTCTTCCATCACCTTTCGTATCTCAAACCCGAATAAGAATCAAAAATCACAAACAAATATATCATAATTCATATTTTAATAATAATAGTTATGACTTGTGTAAATTTCGATTATAAAGGAACTCATAGACGTTACAGCAGCAAAAAATCGTACCGTCTCGTCCAAATGGAACTCATTGAGTAATAAGTGTGAAAAATCACAGTGAAACATTACACGCGAAAAAATGCTTTTATCCGTGTGGAAGACGGTTTAAATATTAAAATGGATGAGATTCAAGCGTTCAGCCTTGATGATGATAATAATATCAGTGTTCCTTTGTACCGCGTCGTTATTTCATCTTGAAATATTTCTTTGATTATTTCGACTTGGTAATCTTCTTTTCCATATCGATTTCCTAGCGAACTTGCTCTTATAGTGCTCTACAAAGGAAGAATAAACCTTTAATATATACACTATAATTAGGGCTAATAACGATTGCTGTTTGAGCTAAGGACTCGGGATAGCAATAATTAAAGCTGTTTAGAAACGGTGCAGCGTCGGCAACATATTCCGAGATATTTTTTTAGTAAAGCATTCATGTAGGATTGGAGGTGTTTTCATGTAAAAATCCGCTAACAACTCACCCACAACAAAGGTTGTTTGTTCTATGTTCGGGAACATGTGTGACAGCATGACTCTCTATAGTGAGGATACACACAAAGGCGTGCTTGGCGAACCATTCTACAGTCTTTTAACTTATCAACACAAGTAGGATCTGAAATCAAAATCAAAATTATATTTAATGATATAGGAAACGTGTTGGAGTTAATAATATTATTCTAATTGACACCAACAAAATGAATTAGACCCTTATTTTTACATTAACGTTTCAATTATGTCATCAATAACAGGTTACCATCCCATTAAAAGTGCTTGTGTTGGCCATAGAAAATATGGTGCTCCGGAAGTATGTGAACCAAGATGGCGCACAACCTGAACACAGTATGTGTACCAGGTTAGGGGTCAGGTTGTGCGCCATATTGGTGCACATACTTCAGGAGCTCCGAAAATATTTTTCAAACTATTATGCTTCCTTCTCACCAATGAAAGAACTACAATCTACTGTGTTACATCTCTCTTGAGTCACCGGTTTTTCTACTTCTTTACAAAGTGAACTATATTTTCCTCCTGAATCTAAGCACAACACGTCACGTCGCTTTGTTCCTCCGCCGCATGTGACTGAACACTGGAGTGCAAATAAAAAATTAGAATAGGCTTTGTAACGAAAGTTTTAGGTATAAAAAACATGCAATTGTTGAAAGTGATTATAGTTTTAGGATTTGAAATATTGATTTTGAGTTTTATTATCCCAACTCAATCGACATATACTTACATGGATAGAATGGGCTTTGACCACACGCTCAGCAAATTCCCTTTCGCTTATATATATATATCGTATAAATATGCATAGTAAATTGTTATTCACTATTTTACCGGTCGACAAAAATAGGATTTATACAATTTCTATTTAAAAAGGAAGTGTTTGCTGTTGACTAAACGGGAGTTTTTGGAATAAAATATTTTATTGTCGCTGTGGCTATTCAAGAAAACGTATTTATTGCTTTAGGCGCAGTCCATTAATAACTGTCGTAAACAACATTGATTTATCTGTAAACTTTGCTTGGCTGTTGGAAAAGATAGATAAATTGAATAGCATTGCATTTATGCGGTTTCCGTTTTTTACCTAGGTAACGTCTCATCACTCTACGACAATACAATTAAGATGAACTATGACGGATATGAAATAGTGTATGGATCGTTAACTTCCTTGAAATACTCCATCGCTGCCAAAAACTTTTACAGCACGAATGATTGAACATGAGCAAATTCAATGTCGTAATTTATTGGTCATAATATTGTGTAAGGGATTTTCGATAGTAGTAGTATACAGGTCAAAGCAGTTTAATATCTTAATCTTGAGAGTGAATATCGCAAAAAATAACATTTACCTCGTTCCATTCTCTAAAATACCATCTCGATCCACATCTTTGTGTATTACACGTCTGTTGTACTGTCGGTTTATCTTCTGCATTGCACAAATCACTGTCTTCGCTAACCCTCATTTGACCGTCAGATGACAAAACAAAACAAACGACACGTCGGTCTTGTGTGCCTCCACCGCATTCCACAGAACACTGAAAATCACAGAAAGAAGCAATTATACAAAGTGTGAATTGAAATAATCAATGGACGGGGACTGATACGAGGCTAATGTGAATATAATTTATACTTACAGGCCCCCAGGTTCCAGCAAACCAGTCGTATTTTTCCCCACATGATGGCCTTGTACATCCTCTTGTATTATTGGGCTTATCTTGCCCCTGGCAACCCCGCAGAGTATTTGCGGAGTTCACACAAATAACATCACGTTTCTGAGCTCCGGTATCGCAATCGGCTGAGCACTGACCCCAGTCCGTGTTAAACCAACCCGTTACGCACGGGTCAAGTCGGCATGGTTGAACACTAGGTGGGGGTATCGTTCTCGCGCATTGTATCCTAGGAAGAGCCATTCCTTCACCTGATGTGCAAAAAACATCTCTTGTTTGTCTTCCGATCCCGCATTCGACATTGCACTAGAAACAAAAGAGCAATCCTTAAATGAGTGGATACGAAAATCAAATAGCTATCGCAATGTCAGCAAAATTTTTACAGATTTTACAGAATGTCACATGAAGAAGGGTCGTATATTACAAACTCGAGAGATTAGGATGATCGTCTCGTAAAAAAGAGACTCTCATCTAGTTATTTCGTTTTGTGTACGGAGAATGTTAAACGATTGCCTCATAAATTTCGGGACAATTCGGGTAGTAAAGTTATTTTTATAACAACACTTTATCAAAGCTATTGATTCCATAGTATGTGTGCCGATAAATTAACAACTGCAAGACAATGATTACTGAAACCCGAGAAGTAAATATTCAACCCATTTATAACTCAGGTTGATTGTTAAAAATAGTACTGTATAGCGAGTAACAGCTAAAGTTTGCCGCAAAAACGCTCAACTGCGCCACAAAACTCATCGTATAACAATAAAAATGATTCAAAACATCATTTCTGTCGAAATTCGAGTACCACGATTACTGGAATGCGACGTAAATATTTTACAAGTTACGTTAAAACGGTAAAATAAATTTTAGCTGATTCTCAGTGACCTTTTAATAAGATTTTTTAACTTAAACTGCAGACCACCCATAAAATCATTTGGATATTGTCAAAACGATCTTATATCTTGTGGTTATTTGTTCTATCGCACAATAACGACTGAAGCAAACATACAATTTCCTGTTTTAAAACCGCAGTGCAGTATATTGCCTATATAAGAATTATACGATACGTATTATATTTCAGAATTCCGCGAAACTCGATGTTTTGATCCATTAATCTCAAATAAACAAATTTGGATTTTTGGTAATAAAAGTTAAGATTATATAACAAATTGCTTTGAGCATAACGACTTGAAACAACACAGATTTCGTGGCGCTAATTAGATTGTGCAATAGGGTTAGCTAGAAGCGGACGATCACTTCAAACGATATACAAACGATATACAAACCTTGGACCATTCTGACCGGATTTTCCAACTCGGACACTCCTGCACCGCACATTGTTGATGACTTATTGGTCTTCTCAATTTGCGACATCGTTTGGGACTGACTGGTGCAGAAAAGTTTCCATAAAACAACTGCCTACACGAGACTCGTCTCGAACGTCGTCCGACACCGCATGACCGTGAACACTCGGACCATTTCCCAAAGTTGTAACTTGAGTATAATAAGGTTAAAGGTTAATCGGCAACTAAGATTCTACAATAAAAGATCATTACCGCATTTCGTTTTAGTTGGGAGAATTATGAAATGCTATTTCCTTTGTACACTATATGTAATTAGTCTGTAATCATTGAATTCGACTCCCAAACTTCATCGTCTATTATTCTAATAACCAGTGTCATATTACACAGCAATACTCACTATGCCGGGCAAGCTTGTCTATTACATCTTTGGACCAAAAATGGTGGTCTTGCCAAACCGTTGCAATATTTGTCATCCACAATATTCCTTGTTTCTCGTGTGACGCACTTTATCAAAATAGTCTGTCGTCCTGTCAAAAAGAAACAGAACAATGAAATACTTTTGTACCTATGAGTTGAGTATGATGTCATTTTTATTATGAAATGAAATTAGAAAATGAGTAACATCCATAAAAAGGAATTACGAAAATTAGGGAGTTTCTGACATAGTAAATTACGTCTGGTTTCCTGTAATAATTTTTATACAAAATTAGTTGAACTATTGTGATTAGCTCATCAGATTAACTGAGAGTTCAAAGGTTACTTGGTTTTAAAACAAATGATTCGTGTGTTTTCATAATTGAATAACTTTGAAATAAGTTTTTGTTGATGAATTTATATATTACGAATGACGGCATATTCATGTCAATCGGTATAACATTCTTATAAACTTAGCGCAGTGAAATGAAAAATGTGATTGAGCGACAGCCTAGATTTGTATAAGAGATTACCGTAAACTTAGATAATATACCTTCTGCACATGACTTCGAGCACGGCCCAAATCCCATCGACTTCCACAAGAAACTTGTTTCCGTTTTCAAGTTCTCTGAGGAATCCACATCATTATTTCCTTCTTGTATTCCTGCGTTTAACCCGCCATTATCACGGTCTGGTGATTTTGATGTTTTGTGAGGTAAGTTTGCAGTGCTAATCTCACGGCGGGGATTCGTGGGAACGATAGCAGGTCTTTCGAATTCGCTGCTTGATCGTTGTAGCTTCAACTCATTATGCTGCCTGTAGTAGTCATTTCTTGCTGGTGAATAACGAGTGTAAGGATGATTTCCTCTCACGTATGGACGTCTCCTACGGCTCCATGTTGGGTTACGTCTTGGTATGACTGGCGATTGCGGAATCTGAACATTTTTTTCGTCTTTCGATTGGTCGCTGGTGGCGTGGCCATCCAGGTCAGTATTTCGTGCTTGAACGTCAAGTGATTGGTCTACAGATTCCTGTCCATAATTTTGTTGAACTTGATTACCCGGGACAGTAGGTTTCATTATCTGATCTTGTGGTAAATCGATAGTGTATTTGTAGGATATCCCTGGGTTTTCACCTTGATAAAAAAGCTGAAACGGATAGAGATGAATACATAAACTAAAGCGTTTATCAACGTACACAGTTACAAAGTACACAATTACATAATGCAATTATGAATAATCTATACACAGTTGTTTCAGATTCACGTAGTATTTTTCATGTAACAGGTGCACTTGCGTTCTATTACCGCAGAATGTTGTGGTCGAGATTTTGTCAGAATTTTACAACAGTGTTATACATAAAAACTTATCAAAGGCACCGCAATGCTATGGCATCTATAACTTATTCCGGGCCAAAACGAAAACCTATCGCTTCAACACCATCTACACCGCATGTATATGTCATTTACCGACTTCAAACATGCGATTCTTTGATGTTATATATGCGTGACCTTCGCTGATAAGCGAAACTGTGCAAAAATGCTAGAATCTCATGGAAGCACCACGGATCGTTGACCCGTGTATTAATCATATCCACACGCCGACCGCCATTTAACACCTGATATAAACTTGAACCGCGATACTGCGGATAGATTTTCAATTTTAATACTGTTTGAGAAGCGCACTTGTGCTATCATCAATCACTGTCATTTATACATTCAATGCCGCCGAATTTCGTTCTGGTTTTCTTTGTGACATTGTAACAATATAAGTGTCAATGTTTATAAAAGTCTACAATTTCGATCAGCAAATTCAAAATTAAGGTAGCGTGACGAAAACGGTAGTTGTTACGAATCTGATAAGCCTTCTGCACTTTCCGCTTTAAATTGTATGTAAATACTGAAAAGCTCATTCAAAGTCGCGCGTTCTCGTAAAATGACACCATTCTGGAATAATTTACTCAAAAAGGATCCAAAGGACGCCCAAACCCAATTTTGGGGTAAATACAGACACCAATTAATAAATGCTGATTCGTAATGTTGTCGACCTATCAACCAACTTACTACACATGAGCATAAACCCAAAATATTTTGGAAATCACAGTAAAATTTGTGTACTTTTTAATCAATACACATATCTTCAGGCATAACTAACGTGAACTTCTAACCGCGACAGATTTGACGTACATATACGGATGTAACTAGCCGATTACACTATTTTATATACAAAACCCCATTTCTCCAATCGTTTTACCTGTTATGAAAACAAATGGATTAGACTTCATGCTAATCAGCTTATAGCAATATTTATGTCTAAGATTTGTCATGACGAATTGACGGCCCTTTTTTGCTCCTGCCATTTCTTCAGTTTTATTACGCTGGGATCGTATCCAGCTTTTGAGAAATTATCTACGCTATATTGAGTTACTTGGAAACACTAATTCTAATTGGCGTCACTAGGATATTCTTGATTCAGTTCCTACATAATTTTTTTACATCACAATTTACTTGTGGTGAATGTTGTTACCTTAGGTTGCAAACATTATAATTTTGCATACAGTACACAGTCGAATACAGATTGATAAATAGTCGCTGCATTTTATGAGCAACTCACTTTAGACTGAAAACATTCTCACTTGATAGCCTTTTCGTTTATCTATGACCATATTTTCGTTTCTTTAATGCCCCATTAACAATTGTTATGATACTTCTCCTATTGACCGGAACAACCTTCACATTTTAATCAAATTTGGGCACTTGGAAGGTCGTATATTGCATAGATCACACATGGCATTATATAAACTGGGGAAAGTTGAATAAGAATTGTTTGCGTCAGAAATGTCTCAAATAACAACATTTGGTTAGTGCTAAATAGCTTTTATTTTCAAATACGTATTAACTGAACTCTGCCTTCTAATATACCACGACATATTCTTTGCTTCAAAAATAAAGTAAAGTTCTTATTTAGTTTTCGAGATTGATATGAAAAACATCTTACCCATACGTCTAGATCTTCTATAATAGGTCCTGGAATCATCATCGCCTCTCCCTCATCAGTTAAAAAAGGTCTTGTGTATCTTACATGTGTGCCGGGAAGTGGATATGTCCTCGATTCGTCTAAAACTCCCCTTATTGCGTTAATGTTGATGTAGCTACCTCCTCCGGGACGGGAACTATTGAGGGCTAAAAAGAATACATTATTATTTTGTGTTCCACACTATATCTTCAAGCGAAACGTAGATCAATTAGCTCGTTAAAATGTCCTCAATTGAGATAAACTAGGCTCGAATAACTGATAGCGAATCCTGAAATCTTTACACGACGACACCTGCATAGTTAGGCAATAGAAAACCACATAATCATCGTGTCTACATACCTAGAGCTATTTAGTCCCCATTTCCGATTATAACTCCATTTGTATTTGGTATGAGAATAATTCAAATATCAGATAATTGATAAATGAATGTGACGACATAACAAGACTGCATTGTCATACCAACAATACCTATTCATCAACACAAGAGCTGTTTCGCCATACCGCGATAAGACACAAGTGTGCGGTACGCCGAATGACATTATTTCCTATGGCTTAAGGAGGGGATGACATCCAAAACGCCTTACCAAGATAAGAAAAGTAGTTTGTCATGTACCACCCGCCCTTCTTAAATCCAATTAACGAGTTTTTAATACACGATGGTTAGATAGGTCAAAGTTTCTACCGCATGATGTGTTCCAATTCTCCCAAAACTATGTAATATTTATTTTATTAATTCAAGAATAAATAATAATTAGGCCTTCAATTTAAAGCCCAAGTTAAATGTTATTCACTAATTAATCGGCAAATATTTATAAGGCATATTACAGTGCTATTATTATTCATGATTCGCAGATTAACAATCTTATTAATTTATACTAATATATAATCCAAAAAGAGACTATAAACTATATTTTTTTAGTCACAAAACATCGTAATTATGCAAAATGTACTTCAACTTTTTTGAACTCGCGCGAATACTCGATTCCAAAATTGCTGTCTAGATGGTATATATTAGAAATTTGGGACTTATTAAAAATCAGAAGTGAAATAAGAATATTGAAAGGTGACTGAATAAGCCAACCAATAACATTTCATTATTACTATGAAGATAAACGGAATCTTATTTACATACGGTACTTCTCATCGTTGGTGGTTAAAAACAATGAATAATATCCATTGACACGTTGTATGGGCATATCTGTTTTAAGATCTTCAAGGCCGTGGGATTCAACGAGGCCGAAACCATCAAAAAATAACATTCATTTGACCCTAAAATAACACAGACGCGTGGGGCTGTTCGAGAAGCGGAAAATGCAAAGGTCTTTGAACTTGTCGCGCAGTTTTGCCGAATTTAAAATATGTCTATAACGTGAGTGTCAACTACTGACGCCATGTATTGTTAGGTCAGTCAGCGTTGCGGGCGGTGGCTATCGGGTCATTCGCACATTATTTTTCCCTATTCCACTTGAGTCATTTTATATTTTGATGACCGGATATATTTCTACTGCTTCACCCAATTTGGAGTGAATCGTAGATATAAAAATGATTTTTTAATTCATAACAGTTTATTTCCTTTTTCAATGGGCATTATTGATGTATGAATTTTCAAGCTTGCGAACTAACAAGACGAGACGGGCGAGTCTGAAGTCAAATTCACTGCCTGGAAACCTGTAGGAGTATAGCATATTCCCGCTAATATTGGATTGAGGGTCAAAGGTCCAAATTATCCGGAGACTATAACTAGAAAAAGAGTCGGTAATAACAGTCGGAATTTCGGAATTCTGAAAGTAGATAATTTGCAAATAAAAAAGAGTTTGTAGTCGTGAATCTGAGGTAGATATTCCAATTATTTAGCTCAAATTTGCCGAATTGTTTGTCCACGCGATCTCATGGATTTGTATCCCATGTTTCGACAATAGTTAATTAGATACGTGCCTCTTCATTCAGTTCGCACTACCAAATAATATACTTCAGTGTTTTAAAAATACTCACCCAAATGGTTTTGGCTTTTTGAAAGTTCTGTGATGTTGATTCGCTTTGCTCCTGACGGTAATCGAGTAACGAAATTATATCCAAGAATTAAATTATTGCGCCTGAAGACGTCTGAAAATAAAAGTTCGATTTCCTTTTATCACAATTGGAACACAGCTAGTAGCGACTTAAATATCAAAATCGATTAGGAATTGCAACGAAGACGTTTATATCACACATGTGCATTCATTTTTACATATATTTGAATCAAAAATTTATGGTGAAAATTAACAATTCCAGGTTTTATTTTTTGTTTAAAAAAAATCGAATATTTTGATGTTTATGGTAATCGCTTGCGTTTTCGAGTTTTAATTATCATAGTTTGAATAAAATTTTACCATATTTTGCCTAAAATTGAGAAAGGCTCATTTTTTCCGGATTTGAAGTTCGAACATATATAATGTACCTGAAATCGTTGCATTTCAACAAAAAGTGTACAACAAGTCGAACACTGGTATATACAAAAGACATTGCACAAAAATGTAGGCCCATTTTAATTCATTGAGTATTCTATACAAATAATTTAAAAATAAAAATGTGTAAGATTTTGCACCATACCTTCTATTACTTTGCATGTATCTTCTTTCCCTCCACAAACTCCACATTTGTCAAATTTTAATCCAGAACTGACGACGTTGTCGCAGCCTACTTTCTGAAAAATAAAAATAAATAAATTTAAACGACATATTAGTTAGCCCGGTTTTTTAAAATTCCATAATTTTAAAAGATTTCATTTGAAAAACATTCGCTGCCGAGCGCCATTATACCTGATGTCACTAAATTGGACTATTCCAGCCCCGAAAGTTGTTCATGGTGAAATGGCCGTTATTTATTTAAAAAGACATTATGGCGTTCTTTTTTAACAATTTCCAATACAAGATAAGCAGAATATAAGTGGGCAGATTGGCCAAAATACCCAATCAAAGTGGTTTTATTTGCACGCAACTGAAACAACTCGCGGCTATTGACCACGTCGGAACAAGTATATATATTAAATAAGATATATCGATTGCCCATACTCACCAAGTCAATGACATCTATATCAAAAGAGGATACAACAAATTCTATTGATATCACACATATGATCAAACTTTGAATTAGTGACGTCATGATTAGCAGCAGCGTAGAAATAATTAAATATAGCTCATAACTATTATATTAAAATAATGATATATATAAGAATTATCGGTAATTAAGCTGTAAAATATAAAAAAAGTTTTTATAATGTAAAATTTAGAATAAAAGCGCAAAAGTTCGAACATTTTTGTGACATATATTCTTCTGCATTGAATTTTATTATTAGCTTACAGCTTTGCTTCTACACTAAATTGAGTTTTATTATATTGGTAAATCTTAGTTAGCAATGAGTAAAATTGTAGCCAGATCTTAAATTTGTACCAATATTAAAATAGTATCACCGATAACTGAAGAATTATATATATATATTGTCATAAATGTACGATCCATAGAAAACTGGGCCGCACTCAAGCTACCGGAATATCTCCACTCTCAACTGTCTTATCAACATAAAGCTTTCTACTTTTATACCTGTTGAAGTGGAATTTTTGAGAAAAAGGGGGATTTAAAAGAAAAAGTATTTTTTTTATTATGATAAAATCAAACTTTTTCTTTTCATATACGAACTCTCCTAGCAAAACTTGCTTCTTAACCTATGCAGGTCAAATAATTATCTAGTACCACAGGTATGGAACAGAATCATATCATTTCAAAATAACAATAATCATCTTGTTTAACAAATAAACATTTCCCAAAATTTTTATTTTCGAAAAAGCTCATGTTTTACTGATAAAATTAGCAGAATTTATGTATGTATTCCAGCTATAATATGATCTTTACCATAAACTCATGACTACTACTCCATCATTACTGTAATAGATGGGGTGGATTATGCCGAAACTGGAAGATAGTAATAATATATGGCCACATCCATATATAAAGACCCTTGTTCGGGTCGAAAGTGTGTTGTACCTCGAAATGAATCGAAAAAAAAAATTATACAATTAGGATTGGCGATTTGAAGCCACATGTGTCACGAACGAAGCCTCTATCTTTCAATTCCAGTTGCCACAACGACGTGGGTTTGGGGGTCACGGCTGGGTTACGTCATGGCATCTTTCATCAAAACTGAAGTAAAAGACAACTGTGTTTCGTATGACATCATCAGTGTAGGATTATTTTATTTACGTTTTTCTGCAGTTGAAACTTTTATCCAACCTGGTTCGACTCTATGACAGGGGCGTAGCTTAATCTAAAACAGTTTGATGAACGAATTTCTGTCCAGGTATATCGTAGATCTACTGTACAAATATGTTTATGTCTCCTGCAGGGATTTTCAGTTTAAGTCTGTAAATATCACAGTGACAGATTTCATCAATCAGTAAGACATATTCTAAAATAATTCAGCGGCGAATCTCTAATCTGACATAGCTTGGTGAAATATTTTTGAGCCGAGACTTCTTGTCTTTTCCTCTACTGTGATATATTGACGCTGTCGTAACTCATAAATAGATAAATTTTGTGAACTTTTTTCTTCTTTCGGTCAGGATGATTCTTGAACAGAATAAACATTACGACTTATAATTGTAATTTGACGCATTCTAACAAACAATTAACGCCTCTTGCACCCTTTTCCGTGTGGTAAAGCTCGTACGACTTCTGCACGAAATAGTTTGCTAGCCAATATTTGTTTGTAAACTGACACAAAAAAGATATAAAACAATATGTAATTGATACCAGCTGTGGCGAACAAGAATACCACTATGAATGACAACCGAATTTGTGACAGAAGGCAGGTATTAGTTATATTATACATAATTTCGTTTGTTGCCTTATTCAGGTGCAACATTTATTAAATTATCAGTATCAAAGTACATTTCTCCTAAAACTTACTTCTCTATATATTTAGCATCAGAGGAATTTAAAATCAAAATATTCCCGACAAGTTTCCCACTTTGTCGCCTTGAATGGCGATTCTACATCTGATATGTCAAAGTGACAAATTGAACGTGTGAATGCCTTGATATGCAGTTGATAACGAATGACAGCTTAACCATAATTTTTTCGGCTTATTGTAATTTGATATTCCGTTACTTGAGCACGACATGTCAAGTGATTGAATAAATTGGGAGTACCCATAGGTTGAATATTATGGAACCATTGTGTATTGAATTTTAGTATTACACGAATTAGTTCAACCGTGATTTATTGCATTTGTTTCTGTAAAATGTCATTTATTACTCAGGTGCATAGAATATACATTCGAAAGCTGAATCTAAACGTAATTAAAATATTTGACTTCGTCATCATTCGTTTTTTTTTCGGTTGCTTTTGTCAAATATTTCACATCGAAATGGTGTTTAAATTAGACGTAAATTCTCGAATAATTAATCAATTCTTGCGGGATAGTTAAAACAGTGTGGGCACACACTCAGAGTGCAAATGTATCTATATTCAAAACCAACTAAAGTGGCTAAATTTAAGTGGCAAGGCATATACTGTCCGCACCCTGTATACCATGAAAACGAATAATGAGAAATATTACATTTCTAAATGTTTTCTGCGGCGCATACAACTAAGTGAATGAGGGAATTAGGCGTACAACTACTTATTCGCAGAACTAAAAATCTTTGGAATTTCCGGCCAGCCTTTGAGCCAAAACCCTTCCTGTTGTATGTATTTACTTCACACCTATTAGTTTTTTTTAACACCTGCTTATCAAGTAAAACAATTATAAGCAATTAAAGTATCATTTACTGTGTAGTTTTGTTGATTAGAGTGACCAATTTTAAATTTTCAAAAAGCAGGTATTTTGCATAAAATACCTAGCTGTTAAAAAATTTCGTTCCAATATATTAACTCGCATTTGGCCCGGGGTACGTTTAACAATCTCACATTCAATTATGTGCTGGGTTACTTTAGCAAAACAATCAATTAAAAAAGTCAGTTGTGCTCTTAAAAAATGTTGTTCGCAAACTGATACATTGTATACCCTCATTATCACAATTTTGCGAGTGGAAATAACAGTTTGCATTTTGAACGTATTTCGCGTTATTTTTTTGTATATTCGCGTTGCCCTTATGAACGGAAATTGTAGTCAGTTCTATGTCTTAAAATGAAGGCGTGTTTGTTGACTATTGAGCATGTTACATCTCCTCTCAAACAAACTTTCCTTGGTTTCAAGTAATGCGGCAAACATCAAAGAAATCTTGTTAGCTACCATGTAAACAAGGTATAGAAAGATCGATACCAGACCATAAATAAATTCAATCTGAAGTACCGTTATTCTCCAGAATTTGATATGCATTTTTTCACCCTGATGACGTAAGGAGTGACGTCAGTTGGTTCGATTTTAGTTTGTCGGATTCCAAACAATTCATAGTCTTGTAATATGAATAACTACCTATATATATTAAAACAAAACTGAAGGATTTATGCCACATATGGGCGTGAAAATTCATGTCTAAAAGGTTTTTCTGACAGAGGAAGTTTTTTAGCTTCTGTCTAAAAAGCTAATTCCTTACTATACCTCCAAACGTTAATTTTGTTTGATCAAAAAATTAGGATTTTAGTTCTAATCCTTTTAAGCCTTGTTAAAACACTCTACCACCGTGAAAGATTTCACAACAACTAAAAGTATAATATCACGAAAAGGGGTTTGGTGGGTTTCACTCGGGGTTAAAAATGCAGTTTAAAATTTTGAGGTTAATTATTTTTCCAGGTGAGGAAGAAATTGAAATTTTGAAATAATTCCATACATGTAATTGATGGAGATTTTTGTGCAAAATATTCGTATTTGTATTTCTGTCGTTTTATAGGGAAATATACTCCTTGCTCAACAGAGATTGTCGTCAACGGTTTACACTTTTGAGCGAGATACTTTCAATGACACATAGCAGCTCACCATGTTATAAATACTGAGAAAGGGCGGGTTGGAACGATTTAGCTTTTGACTCGATCTACCGCAAAATTCAAGCATCCCATGCCGAATTATTATCAGATAGAAATAGTTCCCATACGCTTAAAATAGCTCTATATTAATTATACATTTCAAATATATGACATCACATACTAAAAATTTTCCTTTCAAGTGTCAAAAATTAATATCTGTGTGTCGTCTTCCGTCAATCGGTTCATTGCTAGTGTATTCACATAGTAGGATTGCCTGAGGTGTGTCAGTGAACCACAGACTATGAAAATTTCTCCTACCGCCTCCATCGCGTGTTTATTTTGATCAACCAGCATACGTATTAGCCGTACCTGATAGCTTACTGCCTATAAACTGAACGTTCGATAAAACAGAATGACGAATAATGTAAAGACTAAGTCAAGTCACCGGTCAAATCAAGTTCATTATACAAACATTACAAATTTCTATCTTTCGCGCCCTATCTGTGTCTTGCGTTTATAAACAGTTTATCTATGATCCGGTTAAGTCTGATTTTAATCCAGGTGGTCACTTTGACCCTCGCCATTTATCCTTGATGTTTAGGATTATTGTTTACACAGACCACTACTGGCGATTGGGGCAGGCTATCGGCAAACACAACAACTTGATGGATGATCACTTCATGTCATAATTGCCGTTGGGAATCTCCAAAAAATCGGTGTTCACACGAAATCCCTCCATTATTTATCATTCTTAGTTTGGTGGGAAAAATGCCCTTTTGTATCTGCAATACAACGTCAAATTTCAATACTATCATGCTATGAAACTAATGTCCGTTAACTGTGCCACACCGGCTGAAAATATCAACTCAGTCGAAATCCTGTTCTCACTTGCCGGCATAGTTTCTCGCCAAAGTCCGTTCCCTATCGTCGACACTAAAATGATATGCCGACCTAAATCACCTGTACAACTAATTTAAATCAAAAGTATTCCATCAGCAGGTAGACAAGACTAATACAATTGTGTACTGGCTATCTCGAGTCCAAACTTAAAAAAGCACTCGCTTGCTGCACTGAAAACGAAATCTTTTTTAACGGCACCACAGTCGCCATCGTCGATTGTGGCTAAATGACATCATGGCTCCGTGTGTCGATCAAATGTTTCCAGTACGGAAGAAGAAGTCTTTGCGAGGTAATAGTAATATAAGGTCTAAAAGACATTTTCAAAATACGACGCCAACAGTTTCCAGTATATATCATAAGATAGCTTACACTCAGTTATACCAACTATCTTTTGTCAGAACAGGACGGTTTCTAACGACCCCATTCTCAACTCAGATGTGTCTTGAATAAAACCTTTTCGTTCTAAATGTTGTTATTTGCAAACGACAGCTTCTCATTCTGCACCCCGCGTGGTTACCAACAATTCCATATTGTAAACAAATGTAAACACATGGCCGCAAAATCGACAAGTTTGGTTTTCAAGGTTATTTCCGTGAATCAACAATCAATAATAGTCGAATTCAGTTTGTGCCTGGGCCTTACACACGATATGCACCTTATCAACGACCCAAACTAGATTATTACATAATTTTAAAATTGAAAAATTATGTATATAGCGGTAACTTGTGGTTTGGTTTGTACAATCCCACACTCCTCACTATTAAATGTTTTAAACATAAAATGTGGCAACGGTGTTGTAAGTTAACATTTATATGTTTTGATCGGATGGAACAGTTTGTACAGCTGTCGTTTTATGATTACAATAAAGCGATCGTAAATTTGTCGCATAGTTATTATGTTTGGGTATACATACTTTTATATTGATACGGCAGTAAAATACGCAAAGTGAATTGGGATTTCACTGTATTGCTTTCTTGGTGAGACAATAAATAAAAGTATTGGTATTTTTGAGTAAAACTTCCCGAAATTTTCAATATTCGAATGTGAAACTTTTACTACTTTAATATATTGGTATTTTCAGATGTTAAAGCGGTCAAGAAATATACAGTTTTAAGTCAGAATGGTCGACTTTCAGAAACACATTTTATATGCATTTAAATATACTTGAAATTTTTCGTCGTCTGCCACGCCTCTGTCCTTGTCTTTCACACAAGCGAAACGACTTGTGGGTTAAACATGGTGAAACATTCTTGCCGGAGAATAAACACTGAAAAGGATAGTTCGAAGACCGCAAACTTAGAAATGCGTTTGCCTAGCTAAAAGTTACGATGCGCCCGAAATTACCAGATAGGTGGTTATAGGTAAACCTCGACAGAATGCAATAAAAAAATTACTAAAAAATTTGCGACCAATAATTGATTTCAGGGTCGATTGTTATATTTTCTGTAAATAACTTCGAACTGCTTCCGAGGACAAGCAAGGTATTCAGTTTAAAATTGCATATATTCTGGTCAGCTCGTCATAGCCCATCAAAGATATTTGTACTTTGGATGGGGCCGCAAGGTAGGGGTGACATTCCAACTAAGGCCTATATTTTTGCAAGGCCATTGCGGTATTTACTGGTAAGTGTGCCGATTTGTAGGGATGAAGTTATCAATGAGTTATAAGTTACCGTCCATTTCAAGCAGCTTTGTATACCAATTTGAAAATATAAACCAACACCACTTGCCCATACTTCTAAAAATTTGGAAATAGTTTCTTCTGACTGTCTGGTGGTGAAATTTTACACAACTCACATCTCATCTCTCTTGCGTTTTTAAATATTTCTACCCGCTTGACCGTGAAGATTTTCTGGTCGGCCATTTTGCGTGATCCGTCACACTTGAACGAAGAAGTGAAAATATTCATTTTGTGTCAAATTTTACTTTCATCCTGAAGGACGTGTTTCCATGGATATCACATTTATTACAGGGTTTGTTTACTGTACAGAAGAAACCAAAAATTTTGATCGAGCTTTCCAGAGTTATTCATTCACTGATCGATAAAGTACGACTATATTTTTTATGGATCCTAAATATGCATTTCGTCACCTTATATCGGAAATTTAATATAATTAATATACCCGCGCCGGGTAGGAAATTCTTCTGTTAAATTCGATAACATGTGATATGTATCCAAACCTTTTTGACCATCTGTAAATATATTTAACTTCATTTTATCAAGTTCTAGGTTAGGAATACGCTCGCCACCGCACCTCTTATTACTCTGCATGGGTTCGCAGGTTCGAATCCCATGCAGAGATGGTTATGTGCGAGAGGATTGCTGGACTCCTCGCCGTCGTTGGGTGGTTCACGTAACCGCTGGTCGGTTACGGCTTCCTCCACCACCAAGTCCATGCTTCCGAAAACAAACAATATAACTAATCCCATACCCGACTCGGAATGGTAACCGGACGAGAGGCCGTGGTTCGCCATATGGATAAGCCGTCTTATCGGTTTTCCTCTCTCCCGGGATAAATATGTAAATCCTATCCTATCACACACACATAAAATTGAAAGATGAAGTAAACAACGAATACAGTCACAACTGACGGGAAATTTTAACGAAATATATATTTTATTTAAATTCATGCTGGTTTGAACATTTGACTAATTTATCTTGGTACTACTTACTTTTGGTGTGTTTACGTATGGTTTACTCTATCACGATTATTAGCTGATTACTTGATTACTTCTTGTTATGGTTAACTGTCTAGGGCTTTAGTCTGTGTTTAGATCTGTTCACAAAGTCTTGTTGTTGGTGCTATCGTCATCGGATATGAATGATCTATTTCTTAACTTTCTTACATTGGGATAATCTGTTCTGACAAAGCCTCATTTAAATGTAAGTGAATTGATACATTCTTGCTTTGTATTGTGCCTGGTTGCCTGTACTCATTTTAATATTCATCTTTATTGTTTGTCAGGTCACTTTGTCTTACTTATATCTGGATTAAATTCCTTTGGGAGAAATCTATTCGTTTCATTTCGGGATATTAGTTAAAGAGACATAGTAGGCAAAGGTGATTTGTCAATGGACAGAAATCCGAATTACATGCCTTGTGGTGGCTCATATCCAGTTGGGAAATCGTGAATTACGCTTTTACATCGCGTTGCCAATTGTGCATGTACCTGCTATAAATGTATCGTGCAGCCACTCGCTAAAATGAACTTAAAGTCATATTGTTGTGTTTCTTACTAGCCTGACATACATTACCCAGAAAACGGAGTATATAATATTTCGCACGTAAAAGAACACCTAACAGACTTCGTAAGATATGAACTAAAAACTCGGCAACAAAAATGAATGAATAATTTGGTAAAAAATCTGAAAAAATTCCAATTGAATCAAACATTCTAAATACGTTGCTCGATTCCAATCTGAACAAAATACTATGCGCTACAATATTTCGTCTACATTTTTTCAAAGCATCAAATGCCGCGTTAATTAAAAGTTAAAACCTCTCATAGCGAGTGCTGTCGGTCATTCGACAGGGCAATGTTTTAGTTAGCAATAAACCTAATGTACAGACCATGTTCTTGATGTCCATTTGTCAAAAGTGAAAATTTTCTAAGAGATAGTGAGAGCTATATTTTGTAAAGTAAGTTTAGCGAAGCGAATTGCCGTAACATAACAGTAAATATTGACAGTCGGCTTCAAAATGACACAGCATGACAAAAGTATCAAAATTTATGTCCTACATCTCATTTACCGAAGCCCATCTATCAACAACATGTCGAAAGCACTGGTGGGATCGGTGATCTTGAAATTTTGGTTTACATCTACTTATCAAATTACTTGATAAAGCGAGGTTATATCTTGTATGCAGAAGTCAATAAGGCTGAAGCATCCTAATACGAAATTGTGATATTGAATAGTATATTTGAATTTGGGTATTTCCATTCAGCCGATTTACGTTAGTGGCAACATAATGAGTTAATTTTAAAATTTGGCAATTTTTTCTCATTCCTAATAACATCTATCAATATATTGAAAAAAATTATATTCCAAAATTTGTAAAATTGATTTAAAAAAGAAATAAGGAAGCATATTCGGCAGTATTTCACAGTATAAAAAAAGCCAAGTTCAAGTAAAAATAAATAAACTAACTTGTACGGAAGTACCGTGGGGACTACAAAATATTTATAGTCGGAGGCAAGTGCATGTAGGCGGAACAGCCAAGTGGGATAAACACCTCATGGACACTTAATATACACCTGTGTAAAGGCATTACCCGTACGAAGTCAAGTATCCGAGGTGAAAATTCTGGTCAGTGACTCGATCGTATTTTTTTGAATTTTAGATTTTCGTAGACAGAAAATATTTACGCTATGGTATTGGTTGTTATTAAATTTTAAAATGAAGTTTGCTTTGGTCGATTCCAGGAAAGGCCGGTAAGCGTCGAACCACGCAATCGCTATAAAATTATGAATCACTTTCCCATAGCATATCACAAAAATTAGTTTCATCAGTCATAGCGACTGTATGTCTAGTACCACTTGAGAGTGAATGTCAACTATAATTCCATATATAAACAACTGACCTTCCAACAAACAACATAGAAAACAGAAATAAAACCTTGAAAACGATCCAAAATTTTTTTGCACACTTGAAATAGCAGACTAGTGCTTGCCAAATTTTAAGACGCTCAGTGGAAATCCCATTCAAGTATTACACTACAAAGCAGAAACCGCAAACTTATTTTAAATGGACAACGCTATATATCAATGAGATTATCATATAAAACTATTTATGGACAATTTCCGCTGGTCATTCTACTTTTTTTATTTTTATCGGCAAACTAATTCAAAATTAGACTTTGAAGTTCTTTCCAATGACACAGCCATGATTAATGGCATTGCCAGTTCTATATTTTAAGGGCGTACTTGAACACAATTCTAAGTTCTTTTGAAATCAAAGAGGGAGGATTATGAAGCACTTTCTTCTATTGCAAATTAGCAATTATTTGATAAGGTAATGTTTTGGATTGAAATGGAACGTAGAGGAGAAAATAAGTTCAATTGCGGATATTGTGTTGTACCATAAAATTATGCAGTGAATATTATTGCTGATTGAAATAAATATAAAATTTCAGTTATGAGTTCATATTTTTCGTGAAATAAATAAATATTAACCGATATTTGATATATATTATTAAATTACGTAGACATTTATCTCGAAATTATGCCAAACCCAGAAATTTAGTTGAATTGAGAACTTGTACGTGACTACAAACAAATTGCTCTAAAAAAAATCCCACCGTGCCGAACTGCCCATTAATTGGCCTGACGTTGGAATTTTAAATGCAAAATGAATCTATATTGTTTATCAGCCTTATACCTCATTTGCTTATAAATGTCTTGGTCATTGTATGTCTATTATTTAATTTTTCATCATGAAAACAGTCTTAAAGAGGTGTCAAACGTGCACTCATTTTGAGTACTTTTGTTACCAATATTCCATTTTCCCGATATGTGGTTGATTCTTCGACAGGTCAAAAGTGCGCTACGCTTTGATCAGCTCTTTTACTCAGCAAAAGTAAAACGCTAAGTGTATTTGAATAATAATTATGCAAAGCCGTTGAAAACATGATCCTTTCTATAACTATAGACATACAAGCAAAGGTCATCATACATTTGACCTTTTCAATTTTGCAGTAAATGGGTGAAAATGTCACCATAAGTTGCAAATATTACTCCTTGTGAAAGACAGTCATTTGTTTCGCATTACAATCAATAATCTGAATCAGTACTAAGCTACGTTAACTATCTTGGATTTTTAATGAAATAAGTATTCTTTTTAAAGGTTACAGCCTCTCTCTCTCTTCAATCTATGCTAACATAAAATCTTATGAATAATATGATAGATGGGCCAGAATACTTTGAGCGCATTGAAGATTTTGGTCAGGCCAGTTTTAAGACTACTCTCATTAGCATCAATATATCACAGGCTTGAGATCTGAAGAACGTTACGTCTGCCGATGAATGAGATCCGAGGTATTTGGAGAAACGATCGTGATTACGAAGTTCTTGTCGAGTTGCCCTAATCACGCTGGCATCTTAGAAACGAATAAAGGTTAGACAAATGATGACATATCATCCTTTATCCCAAACAAAGAGAAAAAAATTGAATAGGGCACTGGGTAAAAAAATATTCTATTATTTCAAACCGTAGTAACTTTGTACGTTTCAGTATCTGGATGTCTGTAGTCTACATATCACAGAGAATCCATGTGAACGCAGAAAGACATTAAAACTGGATCGGTAGAATCTGTATTTCATCAGATAATACGAGTGAGTGAGTGATGACCACATTTTTCTTACACAGGAGTACCGTACAAAGAATTAAAAAAATAACAAACAATTTCAATTAGAACTGAATACAACTCTTTAAATATTTTATGTCCGTTTGCTGCTTTTTTGGACTTGCAGCCAAAAGCTGTTTTTGATTGCGTGATCGTCGCACACAATCCAATTCGTTGTCAAGCCACTAACAAGTTCAAATAACAAGGTGTCTGAAATCTGGCACCTCACATTTACCTAACCTTGAGTATCTAGACACGGATTATACTAAGCCGTCTAATAGCTTGAGAAGTCTGATTGAAGCCAAGCTTCTGCTTTGTCAAGTGAAGCCTTATCAATCACTATTATTTTAGAAATAGGACACCAGAATCTAAAGCAAGTTGAAACCGGTCTAGACTGGAATTATAGACTGCCATTAGAAACTTCATTATCGCGTTTGATAATGGCTTTTCGCGAGATTCCAGTCAAATAATTTTCAAAAGTTTGATAGAACAAAAATTTTGCATCTTGCAAATTTTACATAAAAATTAGCTGTGAATTGTCGACTAATTTTTACAATTTCTGTAAGTTTTTCGAAATCTATAGTTTTTTTCTTAGATTGATACCTACTACAGCTTTAACATATTTTTTCATAATATTTCATTTTGCCGTGTGACGTCAGGGCCATTTGATTTTTCCGTCTCAAGTTGGAATGTCAAGAAGCTCTCATAATGTTTCAATGTGTTCAAGCCTCCTTAACAAAATCTCAAAAACCAGATCTGAGTCATCATCATTGGTTATCGACTGGTCGCTGGATTAAAATCAAATCAAATATAAACCAATGGTGAAGTATATATGCCCCATGCCTTTTATAAAAATAATTGACGTGATTGTGACATTGACCAAATTCAAAAGCACTCACGAGACATCTGCTCTTACAAATACACAGAATAGAAGTTCGGATATTTTCTCACACCAAAAATACAATTAGTTCGTCATAGGGATTAAATTCTCATTCCACAATTCCGTTTACCAACAAACATCTCTTAGGTAGGTCCTTTTCGGACATCGCGTCAATTGCGGCTGCTGTTGTATTTCGTTGTACTTAAAGTTGTCAATGGGATTTAGGTATTGAATCCTTTTGTTTTGATTTTATTCGGATCAGCTAATAATCAAAAGTATTATAGTTACAGTCGTAATGAAGGGAATATTGTGAAAATTTACCCTTAAAACGAATATTTAACCATTTTTGTGTCTATTATTTTAAAACGATCATAGCCGATCACCCCAAATCGGACGCATCATTACCAAGATTTTCATTGAGTTGTGGATAATTAATTGAAGCTCGTTCGAGTGACGGTCACGTTTGACGATGCTGATGTTCCTTTATCAAACGTGTACTGGCTGCAATAGTAATGAATTTGACAAATATTTTGGTCACTGTGGGAACGACCACAACATGCTAAGTATCACTTAGCTTGCACAGAGGTTTCAAATTTAAGCACGCAACCCCAACTTCGGAAAAAAAATAACCACGAGGCAATCGCGACAACTGTACTCCATTTCTAGATAAACCTAATATGCCCTTTGCCATTTAGGTGTAAAACAACTTACCGATCAATATTTATTTAAGATATCAAAATAACATACCCATGTTCTATTTCCATTACCCGCTGACATAAAAAGTCAACACTTTGTCTTCTTAAATCCCAGGTCAATAAAACTTACTCTATCACTAAAGAACTATTGTCAAATCTTTCTGTGAAATTCAAATAAAAAAGACGCGTAGGATTAAAAAGTAATGGTGCCGTGCACAATAGGAAACATGGGTGGTATATTATCCTGTCAATATCAAGTTTTATTGCCAATAAAATAGCTGTGAAGATTGATATAATGCTGTTTTATTTCTACACGCTTTTGTTAGTCGCCTTGTCGGAAACTGAATTTTACCTTAGAACAAATTTTGCTCACTATGGAAAATTCAGCAAAACGAAAGACAATTGTAAAATAATAATAAAAAATAATAACAAAATAATACACTCAGTTTTAAAACTGAAATATTGAAACAAAATCGCTTTTCAATTTAATATTCATATTTTAAGTAAATATAATATGCAATACAGATAAAATATCTCTTCAAATAATCTCTTGTCGGGACTAAGCGTTCGAATCCATTAATAACCACGCCGACTAACTCAAAACTGAATGCCTTGATCATTGTCAGTGGCCCTTATATAAGCAGAGTATTTGAAATTGCTTTTCTCTTTTGATTTTTATATCCCTAATAATTGCATAATTTTTTTTACATTATACACATTTCAAAATAATCAGATACATTACTTTGAATGAATGAAAGCGATTGCTATTACACTTAGCAAAATATCACTAAACTTGAGATTTCGGACAGTCTAATTTCTATATTAAACTGTGAAGCTTTTTTTGAGCTGATGAATAAAAAATATTTTACAATAAATGATATTAAATTCACCGTGATATTCAATATATTTAACAAAATGTTTAACAGTATATGTCTCACGATAAAGATGAATTAACACATGTTTAATTACAATACACATCACGCAATGCAAACGTTGGTGAACCTCAGATTCAATACGGAAGTGCAAATTCATCCATATTGACTTTTGAAAAACATTTGCAGATGACACACCTTATTTTACAAAAAATGGTATAGGTAACGTGGAATAGCATAGTAATTCAGTCTTGAGACTTATATAAAAGCTTTTAAATACAATTTTTAATATATAAATCAGAATCTATCTGCGACCAACAAAATTTTCTATCCTTTTCAACCTTTAAAACTTAATAAATAAAACCACTCATTTAAAACCACCTTCAAATGACATTAAATTATCTGCTTTTATTTATACATACTTTGGATGTTTTAAATTGACATATAATTTATCATATGTTGAGTGATTTAAAGGAAAGGATTGAAATAACTGACTGTTCAAATGCATTGTTCTAAGAGTTGTCAAAAATCTCTGAAATCTTTGTTCACTGACAACACTGAATGCAATTTCCTTTTTGTCCATTTTCCAATAAATCCTAGTTTTTATGACCTAATAGAATCTTTGGAGGTGCGCTATTTTTGCAGGCAAGGCCACACAAACGTAAGAGTATGTGGTGGGTTACCTGAATATAAAGCTACGTGGTATCATTACATAAATCGACTTGACGTTCAAAATCACATACTACGTCATATATCAAAGCCTGCTCCCATTTCATGTATTCATGTAATACTGTACATTGCTTAACCTGACTGACTCCATTGTACAATTTTGTGTTGTTGGAAGTCATCCATCAACGGATTGGTTTCAGGAGAAACGTTGAATCGCTTCGTACAAGTTAATCTTAGCTGACTGCTTGTCGACAGACAACCCATAATTTAAATGTATCAAAGCAGCTCTGACTAAAATCTAAGCGGACATGTAGAAATAAAAGCCTACAAAATAGCGAAACAACACGCGGGACAGTCAAAAATGCGTTTATTTTACCTCGAAAGCCAAAAACGCCAAGGTTTATTTCATATTTGATGGACATTTTCGCCCATTTGGGAATCTTGGTATAATACGATGACGCATTCGTTATTTCATCTTGCCCGAAAATCATAGAAACATAGGTTTATGAATCCAATAAGGCAGCTTATTATTAATCAGATGATTACGAACAAGGCTGATTTATTATGGTATTATATGTGAACTAAAAATGACATTTTACAATGCCGTTTATATTCTGAAACTCGTATATTCTTTACAGTTTAGTGTGAGGTATTCCTATGAAGACGTCATCCACATATATTCAAATATTGATTAGATCAGTCACAGCACATAAATTTGTTTTATAGGTACGTGATACGGTTTGTTTGCTGTTCCCATTTTTCTTTAAATTACTTTGTAGTCAACATATTTATTGTATGTGTGCAGGCATTATACGTCAATTATAACAATAGCTTATGCAATAGCCTTATTGAGATAAGAAATCAAGTTTGTCTCCTAGATTCTTCTCCCTTCATCAAAATCGAAGTCTATTGACGACAACCATTCGATCTGTCGATAAACACCGGATATATTAATGTCATAAAAGTTTCTAAAACCGGTAACTATATGCCATTGCGGGTTGGATACAGTAAATTTTATACATGCGTACGTGATATATTTAATGAATGTCGTTTTCTGGTTGTTTGGTAGCTCTTTGAAGTGACGTTTAGTAATGAAGCATACGTTATAGTTTTATAAGTAGCGACGTAAAATATAAATCCGGAGTCGACGCTTTGTCAACGCACGTTGCGTCAGAAGAGTACACAGTACAAAAGAGTAGAGGATTGAAACCACAAAAATTTTAAAAATCTAAGTTCTACTTTCTCAAATTAAACTATTATGCAATTAAAATTAAGTAATTTTTATGTAACCCAAAACTCACTTTGTTCTCCAAAATAAACAAACGCATTCCCTAATACTTTCTCAGACTTTTAGTTGATTCAGTTCAATCACTTTAACACCAAAAAATTATTGAGCCGAAAAATATGTGAATTTTTACCAGTTTATTGATTGAAGAAAAACCATTTGAACATTCTCAGTCATACTATCATTCTTCGCTTCGAATATGTGGCAACATTCCGTATTTCTCAGACCCACAACGCGGGGTAAACGGCACGTATGTTTTGTATATGCATAAATTATTATTGCAACGCTAGAATGATAAATTGATTCCATCTATCAACGGGGCAAGATCTGGGCAAGAATGTATTTAAATACACAATTCGGTTTTCTAGGACTGCAATAATAAAAATTATTAGCAAATTTACCAAAAAATATTAATAGAAAATTTTTTTGTCGCTGACTGTTATTTATGAACCATGTATTGGTTATGGATGGACCAAATTTCATTGTCAACCAATGTGTAATCGGTCGTTAGATTCCCGACTGCAAACAAAGGTTAACGCAATATATTATTGAAAAAATTTTCCTCGTTCACTTTAACAATTGAATATAGTGCAATGGTACGTGGATAACCTACAATCTCCTTAAATTAATCTTAAACGTGACTTTTACTTCAATTATAGGTGAAGCGGAAAACTTCGTTGTTTTGGC